GGGGTGGGTTATGGGGTGTGGGTTATGGGGTGTGGGGTTATGGGGTGTGGGCTATGGGGTTATGGGGTGTGGGGTGTGGGTTATGGGGTGTGGGTTATGGGGTGTGGGTTATGGGGTGTGGGGTGTGGGGTTATGGGGTGTGGGGTTATGGGGTGTGGGTTATGGGGTGTGGGGTTATGGGGTGTGGGGTGGGGGTTATGGGGTGTGGGGTTATGGGGTGTGGGGTGTGGGTTATGGGGTGTGGGTTATGGGGTGTGGGTTATGGGGTGAGGGTTATGGGGTGTGGGGTTATGGGGTGTGGGTTATGGGGTGTGGGGTGGGGGTTATGGGGTGTGGGGTGTGGGGTGTGGGTTATGGGGTGTGGGGTGTGGGTTATGGGGTGTGGGGTGTGGGTTATGGGGTGTGGGGTTATGGGGTGTGTGGGTTATGGGGTGTGGGTGTGGGGTTATGGGGTGTGGGGTTATGGGGTGTGGGGTTATGGGGTGTGTGGGGTGGGTTATGGGGTGTGGGGTTATGGGGTTATGGGGTGTGGGGTTATGGGGTGTGGGTTATGGGGTATGGGTTATGGGGTGTGAGGTTATGGGGTGTGGGTTATGGGGTGTGGGGTGTGGGGGTTATGGGGTGTGGGTTATGGGGTGTGGGTTATGGGGTGTGGGGTGTGGGGGTTATGGGGTGTGGGGTTATGGGGTGTGGGGTGTGGGTTATGGGGTGGGGGGTTATGGGGTGTGGGTTATGGGGTTATGGGGTGTGGGTTATGGGGTGTGGGTTATGGGGTGGGGGTTATGGGGTGTGGGGTGTGGGGTGTGGGGTGTGGGGTTATGGGGTGTGGGTTATGGGGTGTGGGGTTATGGGGTGTGGGGTTATGGGGTGTGGGTTATGGGGTGTGGGTTATGGGGTGTGGGTTATGGGGTGTGGGGTGTGGGGTTATGGGGTGTGGGTTATGGGGTGTGGGGTTATGGGGTGTGGGGTGTGGGTTATGGGGTGTGGGGTGTGGGTTATGGGGTGTGGGGTGTGGGGTTATGGGGTGTGGGTTATGGGGTGTGGGTTATGGGGTGTGGGGTTATGGGGTGTGGGGTTATGGGGTGTGGGTTATGGGGTGTGGGTTATGGGTTATGGGGTGTGGGGTGTGGGTTATGGGGTGTGGGTTATGGGGTGTGGGGTGTGGGGTGTGGGTTATGGGGTGTGGGGTGTGGGGTTATGGGGTGTGGGGTTATGGGGTGTGGGTTATGGGGTTATGGGGTGTGGGGTGTGGGTTATGGGGTGTGGGGTGTGGGGTTATGGGGTGTGGGGTGTGGGGTGTGGGGTGTGGGGTTATGGGGTGTGGGGTGTGGGGTGTGGGGTTATGGGGTGTGGGTTATGGGGTGTGGGGTGTGGGTTATGGGGTGTGGGGTGTGGGGTTATGGGGTGTGGGGTGTGGGGTGTGGGGTGTGGGGTGTGGGTTATGGGGTGTGGGGTGTGGGTTATGGGGTGTGGGGTGTGGGGTGTGGGGTGTGGGGTGTGGGTTATGGGGTGTGGGTTATGGGGTTATGGGGTGTGGGGTTATGGGGTGTGGGGTGTGGGTTATGGGGTGTGGGTTATGGGGTGTGGGTTATGGGGTGTGGGTTATGGGGTTATGGGGTGTGGGTTATGGGGTGTGGGGTTATGGGGTGTGGGGTGTGGGTTATGGGGTGTGGGGTGTGGGTTATGGGGTGTGGGGTGTGGGTTATGGGGTGTGGGGTGTGGGTTATGGGGTGTGGGGTTATGGGGTGTGGGGTTATGGGGTGAAAATCACCCAAAAAAAACCCCAAAAAATTAAAAAAAAAACCCCAAAAATCCCCAAAAAAATCCCGAAGAACCCCAAATTCCCCCCAAAAAAAGCCCCAAATGAATCAAAAATCTCCACCCAAAAAACCCCCAAAAGTTCCCCAAAATCGCCCCAAAAAATCCCACAAAAATCTCCCCTAAAAACCCAAATTCCCCCAAAAACGTCCGAACGAATCAAAAATCTCCCTCCAAAAAAACCCCCAAAAGTTCCCCAAAATCGCCCCAAAAAAACCACCCCAAAAATCTCCCCTAAAAAATCCCCAAATTTCCCAAAAAACATCCGAATGAATCAAAAATCTCCACCCGAAAAAAACCCCAAAAGTTCCCCAAAATTGCCACCCAAAAAAAACCCCCAAAAATCTCCCCTAAAAAAACCCCAAATTTCCCAAAAACGTCAGAACGAATCAAAAATCTCCACCCAAAAAAAACCCCCTAAAGTCCCCAAAATTGCCCCAAAAAAACCACCCCAAAAATCTCCCCTAAAAAAACCCCAAATTCTCCCCCAAAAAACCGCCAAAAACGAATCAAAAATCTCCACCGAAAAAAAACCCTCAAGTTCCCCAAAATCACCAAAAAAAACCCCAAAAGCCTTACAAAAAAACCCACAAAAATCTCCCCTAAAAAACCCCAAATTCCCCCCAAAAAATGCCCCAAACGATTTAAAAATCCCAAAAAAACCCCTCAAATTCCCCAAAATCACCGAAATCCCCCAAAACACCCAAAAAACTCAAAACCCTAAAAAAATCTCAAAAAAATCCCCAGAAAACCCCTAAAATCCCCCAAAATTCAAAAAAACCCCCCAAAAATCTCCCCTAAAAAACCCCGAATTCCCCCCAAAAAATCCCCCAAAAAATCCCCCCCAAGAAACCCCAAAACCCCCCAAAAAATCCCCAAAAAATCCCAAAAAAACCTCAAAAAAAGCCCTAAAATTCCCCAAAATCCCCAAAACACCCTAAAATCTAAAAGAAACCCAAAACCTTAAAAAATCTCAAAAAAAAAACACCTAAAAAAAACACTAAAATCCCCCAAAATAAAAAAAACCCTAAAAATCTCCCCTAAAAAAACCCAAATTCCCCCAAAAAAACCCCAAAAAAATCCCCCCCGAGAAACCCCCAAAACCCCCAAAAACTCCCCAAAAAATCCCCCAAAAAAGCCCTAAAATTCCAAAAAAACCCCCAAAAAACCCTCCCAAAAAGCCCTAAAACTCCCAAAAAACCTCCAAAAAACCCCCAATATCCCTGCCAAAAATCCCCTAAAATCCCCCCAAAACCCCAAAATCCCCCAAAACCCCAAAAATCCCCAAATTCTCCCCAAATTTCCCAGGGCGAGCAACCACGGGATCAGCCTGGACGAGATCCCGGCCGAGCGGCGCCGCAAGTTGGAGAAGGCGCGGCCGGGGCAGCAGCTGAAATAGCCCCGCCCACAGGTGAGAGGCCACGCCCCCCGCGGGTAAACCACGCCCCCGGTGAGATAAACCACGCCCCCGGTGGGATAAACCACGCCCCCGGGGAGCCACGCCCACCTGGTGAGGAATAAACCACACCCAAATTAGCCACGCCCACCCGTTGAGGAATAAACCACGCCCACAATTAGCCACGCCCACCAGGTGAGGAATAAACCACGCCCACTTAGCCACGCCCACCCAGTGAGGAATAAACCACGCCCACAATTAGTCACGCCCACCAGGTGAGGAATAAACCACACCCAGAGTTAGCCACGCCCACCAGGTGAGGAATAAACCACACCCAGAGTTAGCCACGCCCACCAGGTGAGGAATAAACCACACCCAAATTAGCCACGCCCACCCGGTGAGGAATAAACCACGCCCACAATTAGCCACGCCCACCCGGTGAGAAATAAACCACGCCCACAGTTAGCCACGCCCACCCGGTGAGGAATAAACCACGCCCACAGTTAGCCACGCCCACCCGGTGAGGAATAAACCACGCCCACAGTTAGCCACGCCCACCCGGTGAGGAATAAACCACGCCCAGAATTAGCCACGCCCACCAGGTGAGGAATAAACCACACCCACAGTTAGCCACGCCCGCCCAGTGAGGAATAAACCACGCCCACAGTTAGCCACGCCCACCCAGTGAGGAATAAACCACACCCAGAGTTAGCCACGCCCACCAGGTGAGGAATAAGCCACGCCCACAGTTAGCCACGCCCACCAGGTGAGGAATAAACCACACCCACAATTAGCCACGCCCACCAGGTGAGGAATAAACCACGCCCACAGTTAGCCACGCCCACCCGGTGAGGAATAAACCACGCCCACAGTTAGCCACGCCCACCAGGTGAGGAATAAACCACGCCCAGAGTTAGCCACGCCCACCAGGTGAGGAATAAACCACGCCCACAGTTAGCCACGCCCACCAGGTGAGGAATAAACCACGCCCAGAGTTAGCCACGCCCACCCGGTGAGAATAAACCACGCCCACAATTAGCCACGCCCACCCGGTGAGGAATAAACCACGCCCACCAGGTGAGGAATAAACCACACCCAGAGTTAGCCACGCCCACCGGGTGAGGAATAAACCACGCCCACCATCATTTGGCCACGCCCACCCCCTTTCACTCACCTCTCCCCTCCCCATCTCATTTGCATCTCATTATCCCCACAGCTGCAGGCGGCCACGAGGGGCGGAGCCAGCGACGATTGGCCGCCGAGGGACCACGCCCTGGTGACGTCACAGGAGGCGGAGCCTGGGCGCCGGGAGGGGATTTGGGGGCGGGGCCTGGACTCAAGGGGGCGGGGCTTTGTCTTGGGGGCGTGGCTTGTGCCAGATGAGCGGGGCTTGTCCCTAAAAGGGGCGTGGTTTGGATTTGTGGGCGGGGCTTGTCCCTAAATGGGTGTGGGTTACAGGAAAGTGGGCGTGGTTTGAAATTGTGGGCGGGGCTTGTCCCTAAAATGGGCGTGGCTTGATCCCGGGGCGGTGCCCCAGCAGCCAATAGGATCCCGAATCTCACAAAGGGGCGGAGCCCTCATGGGATGCTCGTCCAATCATTGCCCAGGGCGGCCATCTTGGGCCCGCCCTTAAAGGGCCGGCGCGTTTTTCCCGGAATTTTTCCCGGAATTTTTCCCGTTTTTCCCGGATTTTCCCCCATTCCCGAGGCCCCGCCCCCTCTCCCCTTAGCCCCGCCCCCTCCCCCCGTAGCTCCTCCCCCTCCCTCAATAAATTCCAGCCCAAAGATTTTGGTGGGAAAAAATTCAGATTTGGGCTCAAAGGGGCTCGGCCGCCATCTTGGGGGTGTGGACATGGCGGCCATTTTGGGGTGGGCGGGGCCATGGCAGCCATTTTGTGGGTGTGGCCATGGCGGCCATCTTGGGGGTGTGGCCATGGCGGCCATCTTGAGGGTGAGGTCATGGTGGCCATTTTGGGGCCATGGCGGCCATCTTGAGGGTGGGGCCATGGCTGCCATATTGGGGTGTGGCTATGGCAGCCATCTTGGGGGTGGGGCTATGGCAGCCATCTTTGGGTGGGCGGGACTACTTCGGCCATCTTGGGGTGGGTGGGGCAAGGTGGCCATTTTGGGGTGTGACCATGGCGGCCATCTTGAGGCGTGGCCATGGCGGCCATCTTGGGGTGGGCAGAGCTAATTCAGCCATTTTGGGGGTGTAGCCATGGCGGCCATCTTGGGATGGGTGGGGCTAATTTGAATATCTTGAGGGCAGGGCCAATGCGGCCATCTTGGAATGGGCGGGGTCAAGGCGGCCATTTTGGGGTACGACCATGGCGGCCATCTTGAGGTGTGGTCATGGTGGCCATCTTGGGGTGGGTGTGGCCATGGTGGCCATCTTGGGGTGGGTGGGGCTAATTTGAATATCTTGAGGGCACGGCCAATGCAGCCATTTTGGGTGGGTGTGGCCATGGCAGCCATATTGTGGTGGGCGGGGATAATTCAGCCATTTTGGGGTGGGGGTGGCCAGGGCGGCCATCTTGGGGGTGTGGCCATGGCAGCCATTTTGGACTGGGTGGGGTTAATTTGGCCATATTGGGGGTGTGGTAATGGCGGCCATCTTGGAGGTGAGGCTATGGGGGGGGGGGAGCCATGGCAGCCATCTTGGGGTGGGTGTGGCCAAGGCGGCCATCTTGGGGCGGAGTCAAAGCAGCCATCTTGGGCGTGGAGCCACAACAGCCATATTGGGGGTATCACGCGCGGGACCAAACGAGACACGTTCACGGCGGCCATTTTGGGGCGGAGTCACAGCGGCAGCCATGTTGTGGGCGTGGCCATGGCAGCCATATTGGGGGCGGGGTCACACCGTCCACTTCAGGCACCTGCGGGGGAGGGGAGGGAAAGGTCAGAGGTCAGCAGGGTCGGACCCCTCCCCCCAAATCTGAGGGTCCTCGTGCCGGTCCCAGTCACATTGTTTCCCTGTTTTTCCCAACATTTTTCCCATTTCCCCCCATTTTTTCACTGTTTTATTCCCCATTTTTTTCCGGTTTCTCCCATTTTTTCCCCATTTTTGGCTCGCCCCGTACCTGGTGTCCTGGTGGGTGCCCAGGTGACACAGGTGTGTCCCCAAACCCATTTTTCGGTGGTTTTTCCCCATTTTTTGGCCATTTCCCCCCATTTTTTCTCCATTTTTCTCATTTTTTTTCCCATTTTTGGCCGTTTTTTCCCATTTTTTCCCCGTTTTTCCCATTTTTTGGCCGTTTTTCCCTGTTTTCTCTGCCCCCCGTACCTGGTGTCCTGGTGGGTGCCCAGGTTACACAGGTGTGTCCCCAAACCCATTTTTCGGTGGTTTTCCCCCATTTTTTTGCTGTTTTTTATCATTTTTCCCCATTTTCTGGCCGTTTTTCTCATTTTTTCGCCGTTTTTTTCCCATTTTTTCACCGTTTTTCCCCGTTTTTTTTTCCCCTCCATACCTGGTGTCCTGGTGGGTGCCCAGGTGACACAGGTGTGTCCCCAAACCCATTTTTTGGCTGTTTTCCCCCATTTTTTGGCTGTTTTCCCCCATTTTTTGGCCATTTTTTCCCATTTTTTGGCCGTTTTTTCCCATTTTTTCGCCGTTTTTCCCCGTTTTTTCTGCCGCCCGTACCTGGTGTCCTGGTGGGTGCCCAGGCAGCACCACAGCCCCACAGGTGTGTCCCCAAACCCATTTTTCGGTGGATTTTCCCCATTTTTTCACCGTTTTTTCACCATTTTTTCTCATTTTTTCCCATTTTTTCACATTTTTTTCCCATTTTTTGGCCGTTTTTTCCCGTTTTTTCACCGTTTTTCCCCGTTTTTTTTTCCCCCCCATACCTGGTGTCCTGGTGGGTGCCCAGGCAGCGCGTGCAGCAGTACCTGGCCCCGCAGGTGACGCAGGTGTAGCCCGAGGGGAAGCCGCAGACGGCGCAGAAGTGGCGCTGGGGCAGCCGCGACGGCGCCGCCCCGGCCGTGACGTAGTTGGGGCCCTCGGAGGCGCTCAGGTTCTGGGGTCAGACCCAAAAAATCCAAAATTTACCCCAAAATCCAGCCCAGACATAGTTGGGGCCCTCGGCCGAGCTCAGGTTCTGGGGTCAGACCCAAAAAACCCCAAAATTTACCCCAAAATCAGCCCAGATGTTACTGGGGCCCTCGGCCGTGCTCAGGTTCTGTGGTCAGACCCAAAAAACCCAAAATTTACCCCAAAATCAGACCCAAATCCAAAATTCAGCCCCAAAATCAGCCCCAAATCCAACTCCAAAATCCAGAAAAAAATCCAAAATATAGCCCCAAAATCCAGGAAAAAATCCATAATTCAGCCCCAAAATCAGCCCAAAATCAGCCCAGATGTAATTGGGGCCCTCGGCCGCACTCAGGTTCTGAGTTCGGACCCAAAAAACCCAGAATTTACCCCAAAAACTGCCCCAAAATCCAGCCCAGACATAATTGGGGCGCTCAGGTTCTCGGGGCACCCAAAACCCCAAAATTCAGCCCTAAAATTCAGCTCCGAAATCAGCCCAGAATTCAGCCCCAAAATGTGCCCCAAAATCCAGCCCAAAATCAATCCCAAATCTACCCCAAAATCCAGAATTTGGCCCCAAAATCAGATCAAAAATCAGCCCCAAATCCAGAAAAAAATCCAAAATTCAGCCCCAAAATCCAGATAAAAATGTAAAATTCAGTCCCAAAATCAGCCCCAAAATCCAGAATTCAGACCCAAAATCAGCCCCAAATCCAACCCCAAAATTAGGCCAAAATCCAGAAAAAAATTCAAAATACAGCCCCAAAATCCAGGAAAAAAATCCAAAATTCAGCCCCAAAATCAGCCCAGACGTAATTGGGGCCCTCGGAGGCGCTCAGGTTCTGGGATCAGACCCAAAAAACCAAAAATTTACCCCAAAAACTGCCCCAAAATCCATCCCAGACATAGTTGGGGCCCTTGGCCATGCTCAGGTTCTGGGATCAGACCCAAAAAATCCAAAATTTACCCCAAAATCTGCCCAGACATTACTGGGGCGCTCAGCCCCACTCAGGTTCTGGGGTCAGACCCAAAAAATCCAAAATTTACCCCAAAACCTACCCCAAAATCAGCCCAGACGTAATTGGGGCCCTCGGAGGCGCTCAGGTTCTGGGGGCAGACCCAAAAAACCCAAAATTTACCCCAAAATTCAGCCCCAAATCCAGAATTGAGTCCCAAATCCAGAATTCAGCCCCAAAATCAGCCCCAAATCCGACCCCAAAATCAGGCCAAAATCCAGAAAAAAATCCAAAATTCAGCCCCAAAATCTAGGGAAAAATGTAAAATTCAGTCCCAAAATCAGCCCCAAAATCCACAATTCAGCCCCAAAATCAGCCCCAAATCCAACCCCAAAATCAGCCCCAAAATCCAGAATTCAGTTCCAAATTCCCCCAAATTTTTCCCAAATTGCCCCAATTTCTCCCAATTCCCCCAAAATTTCCCCCAATTCCCTAAAATTTCCCCCAATTCCCCCAGAATTCTCCAAATTTTCCCCAAATCCCCTGAAATTCCCCCAAATTTCCCTCCAATTCCCCAAAATTCCCTGAATTTTCCCCCAAATCCGCCCAAATGCCCCAAAATTTATCCCAAATCCCCTGAAATTCCTCCAAAATCCTCCCAAATTTCCCCCAATTCCCCCAAAATTCCCCTGAAATTCCCCCAAATCCCCTGAAATTTCTCTCAAATCCCCCCAAAATTTCCCAAATTTCCCACAAATCCCCCCAATTGCCCAAAATTTCCCCAAAATTCCCCAAATTACATCCAAATTTCTCCTAAAACCTCCCTGAATTGCCCCAAATCCCCTGAAATTCCCCCAAATTTCACCCAAATCCCTGCAATTTACCCCAAATTCCACTGAAATTCTCCCAAATTCCCCCAAATTTCCCCAAATCCCCCCAAATTTCCCCCAATTCTCCCAAAGTTCCCCAAAATTACCCAAAATTCCCCCAAATCCACTAAATTCCCCCAAGATTTCTCCCAAAGTCCCCCCAAATTTCCCACAATCCGCCCAAATCCCCCCAAAATTTCTCCCAAATCCCCCCAAAATGCCCCCCAAATCTTTTCAATATCCCCAAATTTCCCAAATTCCCCAAATTTTCCCCCAAATTTCCCCACCTGCTCCTCCAGCAGGGCCTGGAAGTTCTTGCGGAAGCGCAGCTTGAAGTGATCGCCCCGAGTTTTCTTCTTCTTCTTCCCTGAGGAACCCCCAAAATCAGCCCCAAAATCCAGAATTTGGCCCCAAAATCGGCCCCGAAATCAGATCAAAAATCAGCCCCAAAATCCACCCCAAAATTAGCCCCAAATCCAGAAAAAAACCCCAAATTCAGCCCCAAAATCCAGGGAAAAATATAAAATTCAGCCCCAAAATCCCGAATTTGGCCCCAAAATCAGCCCCAAATCCAACCCCAAAACCAGAAAAAAATCCAAAATACAGCCCCAAAATCCAGGAAAATTTTAAAATTTAGTCCCAAAATCAGCCCCAAAATCCAGAATTCGGCCCCACAATATGCCCCAAACCCAACCCCAAAATCAGCCCAAAATCCAGAAAAAAAATTTCCAAAATTCAGCCCCAAAATCCAGAAAAAAATCCAAAATACAGCCCCAAAATCCAGGAAAAAAATGCAAAATTCAGTCCCAAAATCCAGCCCAAAATCAGACAAAAAAATCAGCTCTAAAATACAGAATTCAGCCCTAAAATCCCATTTAAATCCCATTTAAATCCCATTTAAACCCCATTAAACCCCCCAACCCCCACTCCCGGTTCTGTCCCGGTTCTGTCCCGGTTCTGTCCCGGTTCTGTCCCGGTTCTGGAGCCCCAAAACCCCCAAAAAATCCCCTTTAAATCCCATTTAAATCCCCTTTAAACCCCATTTAAACCCCAAAAATCCCATTTAAATCCCATTTAAATCCCATTTTTACCCCAAAAATCCCATTTAAACCCCCCAAACCCCTGTCCCGGTTTATCCCGGGTTTATCCCGGTTTATCCCGGTCCGTACCGGTCTGGGCGGTGTCGCTGAAGTTCGGCAGCCCCAAAAAATCCCATTTAAACCCCATTTAAATCCCATTTAAACCCCAAAAATCCCATTTAAACCCCCCAAACCCCACTCCCGGTTCTGTCCCGGGTTTATCCCGGGTCTGTCCCGGTCCAGCCCGGCCCGGTACCGGTCTCGGCGGTGTCGCTGAAGTTCGGGAGCCCCAAAAAAACCCATTTAAACCCCAAAAATCCCATTTAAATCCCATTTAAACCCCAAAAAATTCCAATTTAAATCCCATTTAAACCCCATTTAACCCCCCAAACCCCTGTCCCGGTTCTGTCCCGGTTTATCCCGGGTCTGACCCGGTTCGTACCGGTCTCGGCGGTGTCGCTGAAGTTGGGCAGCCCCAAAACCCCCAAAAATCCCATTTAAATCCCCTTTAAACCCCATTTAAACCCCAAAAAATCCCCTTTAAATCCCATTTAAACCCCATTAAACCCCCCAAACCCCTGTCCCGGTTCTGTCCCGGTTTATCCCGGTTTGTCCCGGTTCAGTCCCGGTTCTGTCCCGGTTCTGGAGCCCCAAAACCCCCAAAAATCCCCTTTAAATCCCATTAAAACCCCCAAAAATCCCATTTAAATCCCATTTAAACCCCATTAAACCCCCCAAACCCCACTCCCGGTTCTGTCCCGGTTTATCCCGGTTTATCCCGGGTCTGACCCGGTCCGTACCGGTCTCGGCGGTGTCGCTGAAGTTGGGCAGCCGCTTCCCGGGCCGGGGCAGCCCCGCCGCGGGATCGTCCCCGAAATTGTCGCTCTCGAGCGCCTCGAGCTGCCGGTGCAGCCGCCGCTGCCGCGCGGGAGCGTCCAGGACCCGCCGGGGGCAGCCCTCGGGAACGCGCGCTGGGGAAGAACGGGAAAAAATGGGGATTAGGGAAAAAGTAAAAAAATTGGGTATTTACCAAAAAAAAACCCGGGATTTTTATATTAAAAAATGGGATTTTTTGGAAAAAAAATGGGATTTTTACATGAAAAAATGGGGATTTTACGTAAAAAAAAGGGATTTTTACACAAGAAAATGGGGATTTTTACACAAAAAAATGGCAATTTTACATTTAGAAAAACGGAATTTTCACATTAAAAAAAGAGGACTTTACATTAAAAAAATGGGATTTTTTACACAAAAAAATTCGGGGTTTTACATGAAAAAAGGGGAAGTTTGCACTAAAAAATGGGAATTTTACGTTAAAAAATGGGATTTTTACATTAAAAAAATGGGATTTTTATACCAAAAAATGGGGATTTTACATTAAAAAAATGTGATTGTCTTGAAAAAAAATGGGGATTTTACATGAAAAAATAGGGAATTTTACATTAAAAAATGGGAATTTTGCACTAAAAAAATTGGGAATTTTGCACAAAAAAAATTGGAATTTTACACAAAAAAAAAAAAAATTGGAATTTTGCATTTTAAAATAGGAATTTTACACTAAATAAATGGGAATTTTACACAAAAAAAAGGAGAATTTTACACCAAAAAAAAGGGAATTTTACACAAGAAAATAGGAATTTTACACAAAAAATTTGGGAATTTTACAGAAAAAAATGAGAAGTTTATACAAAAAATTGGGAATTTTACACAAGAAAATGGAGAATTTTACACAAAAAATGGGAATTTTACACAAAAAGCCCAAACTCGGGAGCGAATCGATCCCGTCCAGAACCCGCCGGGAACCCCTCGGGAACGCACGCTGGGGAAAATAACGGGAAAAGGATAAGGGGAAAATCGGGAATTATTAAAAAAAAATAAAATTGGGAATTTTACACAAAAAAATTGGAATTTTTATATTAAAAAATGGGGATTTTACATTTAAAAAATGGGGGTTTTAAATGAAAAAATGGGATTTTTAACACAAGAAACTGGGGATTTTTACACAAAAAAATGGCAATTTTACATTTAGAAAAACGGAATTTTTACATTAAAAAAAGAGGATTTTACATTAAAAAATAGAATTTTTTACACAAAAAAATTGGGGATTTTACATGAAAAAATGGGATTTTTTACACAAAAAATGGGGATTTTACATTAAAAAATGGGGGTTTTACATGAAAAAATGGGGGTTTTACATGAAAAAATGGGGATTTTACATTAAAAAAGGGGAATTTTGCGCTAAAAAAATGGGAATTTTGCATTTAAAAAAGGGGAATTTTACATTAAAAATTAGGAATTTTACATGAAAAAATGGGAATTTTACATTAAAAAAAAGGGGGAATTTGCGCTAAAAAATGGCAATTTTACATTTAAAAAATGAGGAATTTTGCTCTAAAAAAATGGGAATTTTGCATTAAAAAAACGAGAATTTTGCACCAAAAAAATTGGAATTTTACATTAAAAAATGGGAATTTTGCACTAAAAAAACTGGGAATTTTGCATTTAACAAAGGGGAATTTTGCACCAAAAAAATGGGAATTTTTGCATAACAAAATGGGAATTTTTGCATAACAAAATGGGAATTTTGCACCAAAAAAATGGGAATTTTACATTAAAAAATGGGAATTTTACATAAAAAATATGGGAATTTTACATTAAAAAATGGGGATTTTACATTAAAAAATGGGGATTTTACATTTAAAAAATGGGATTTTTATACCAAAAAATGGGGATTTTACATTAAAAAAATGTGATTGTCTTGAAAAAAAATGGGGATTTTACATGAAAAAATAGGGAATTTTACATTAAAAAATGGGAATTTTGCACTAAAAAAATTGGGAATTTTGCACCAAAAAAATGGGAATTTTGCACTAAAAAACTGAGAATTTTGCATTTAAAATAGGAATGTTACACAAAAAAAATGGGGAATTTTACATTAAAAAAACAGGAATTTTGCACTAAAAAATAGGAATTTTGCACCAAAAAAAAATTGAATTTTACATTAAAAAATAGGAATTTTACACAATAAAAAGGGAATTTTACACAAAAAAAAACCGAGAATTTGGGAGCTTTACACAAAACAACCGTGAATTTTACACAAAAATATGGGAATTTTACATTAAAAATTTGGAATTTTACACAAAAAAAACCGGGAATTTTACACTAAAAAATGGGAATTTTACACATAAAACGAGGAATTTTACACAAAAAGATGGGGAATTTTACCAAAAAAATGGGGAATTTTTCACACACACAAAAAAGGGAATTTTACATTTAAAAACCGGGAATTTTGCACTAAAAAAATGGGAATTTTACATTAAAAAATAGGAGCCCCAAAATCTCCCCCGGGAGCCCCAAAATCAACCCCGGGACCCCCAAAATCCCCCCGGGAGCCCCAAAACAATCTCGGGATCCCCAAAATCGATCCCGGGACCCCCAAATCGATCCCGGGACCCCCAAAATCGATCCCGGGACCCCAAAATCGATCCCGGGACCCCCAAAATCGATCCCGGGACCCCAAAATCGATCCCGGGACCCCCAAAATCGATCCCGGGACCCCCAAAATCGATCCCGGGACCCCCAAAATCGATCCCAGGAGCCCCAAAATCCCTCCGGGACCCCAAAATCGATCCCGGGACCCCCAAATCGACCCCGGGACCCCAAAATCGATCCCGGGACCCCAAAATCGATCCCGGGACCCCAAAATCCGCCCCCGCCCCTCCCCCCCCTCACCCGACGTTTTCTTCTCGCCCATCATGAGCCCGACTTCCGGTCTGCCGCCCTTCACTTCCGCCCTTCCTGACGCCACTTCCTCTCCTTCCCCGCCCTCACTTCCGCCCTCACGCCCACCACTAAGCCACGCCCCCTTTTCCCGCCCTCGCGGCAACGTGGCGGCCACGCCCCCTCCCTCAGACCACGCCCCTTAGCGCTGATTGGTGGAGGGGCGGAGCGGCGGGCGGGGATTGGCTGAGGCGCGGTGGGAGGCCCCGCCCCCTCCGGCGTTAGCCCCGCCCCCGCCATGGCCGCGGCCGCGCTGCCGCTGCTGCTGCTGCTGCTGGGGACCCCCGGGAGCGCCCCCGAAACCCCCCGAAATCCCCCCAAAATCCCCCAAAATCCGCCCGGGACCCCCCCCGAGACCCCCCCCGAGACCCCCCCCGGGACCCCCCAAAACTGCCCCAAAATCCCCCCAGGGAGCGACCCCGAAACTTCCCAAAACTGCCCCGAAAATCCCCAAAATGGCCCCAAATTCTCCTCCGGGACCCCCCAAAATTCCCACAAAACCCCCCAAAATCCACCCGGGAACTCCCCCGGGACCCCCCAAAACTGCCCCAAAATCCCCCCAGGGAACGACCCCGAAATTCCCCAAAACTGCCCCGAAAATCCCCAAAATTTATCTGAAACCCCCCAAAATTGCCCCGAAAATCCCCAAAATTGCCCCAAATTCTCCCCCGAAAACTCCCAAAATCCTCCCGGGACCCCCCCCGAGACCCCCCAAAACTGCCCCAAAATCCCACCTGGGACTGAGCCCGAAAACTCACAAAATTGCCCCAAAAATCCTCAAAATTGTCCCGAAAATTCTGAAAATTGCCCCCAAAATCCCCCAAATTGCTCCAAAAATCCCCAAAATTGCCCCAAATTCTGCCCCGGGACCCCCCAAAACTGCCCCGAAACTTCTCGTGGGATTGAGCCCCAAAATTCCCAAAATTGCCCCAAAAATCCTCAAAATTGTCCGGAAAATTCTGAAAATTGTCCCGAAAATCCCCAAAATTGTCCCGAAAATTCCCAAAATTGCCCCAAAACCCCCTCGGAGACTGACCCTGAAAATTCCCAAAATTGCCCCAAAATTTTCCCCAAAAATCTTCAAAATTGCCCCAAAAATCCCCAAAACTGCCCCGAAAACTCCTCCGGGATTGAGGCGGAAATTGCCCAAAATTGCCCCGAAAATTCCCAAAATTGCCCCGAAAATCCCCAAAATTGCCCCGAAATTTCCCCCGAGATCGACCCCGAGAATGGTGAGTGGGGAGGGGTCAGGGGTCACTCGGGGGTCAGGGGTCACTCGGGGGTCAGGGGTCACTCGGGGGTCAGGGGTCACTCGGGGGGTCAGGGGTCACTCGGGGGTCATGTGGGGGTCAGGGGTCACTCAGTGGTCACTTGGGTGGTCAGGGGTCACTCGGGGGGTCAGGGGTCATTCGGGTCAGTGGGAGGAGTCAGGGGTCACTCAGGGGTCAGGGGTCACTCAGTGGTCACTCCGGGGTCACTCAGGGGTCACTCAGAGGGGTCAGGAGTCACTCAGGGTCACTCAGGGTCACTCCTTGGTCAGACATTGGTCACTCATTGGTCACTCAGCAGTCGCTGGTCACTCATTGGTCACTCAAGGGTCAGGGGTCACTCAGGGTCACTCAGGGGTCACTCATTGGTCACTCAGTGGTCACTCACCGGTCACTCAGGGGTCACTCAGTGGTCACTCAGGGGTCACTCAGAGGGGTCAGTGGTCACTCAGAGGGGTCACTGGTCAGTGGTCACTCAGGGTCACTGGTCACTCAGGGTCACTCAGGGTCACTCAGGGGGTTCAGGGGTCACTGGTCACTCACTGGTCACTCACTGGTCACTCAGGGCTGCTGGTGCTGACCGTGGCCACGGCTCTGTCAGTGGTCAGTGGTCACTCAGAGGGGTCAGTGGTCACTCATTGGTCACTCACTGGTCACTCTGTGGTCACTCATTGGTCACTCTCTCAGGGCTGCTGGTGCTGACCGTGGCCACGGCTCTGTCAGTGGTCAGTGGTCACTCAGTGGTCACTCAGTGGTCACTCATTGGTCACTCTCTCAGGGCTGCTGGTGCTGACCGTGGCCACGGCTCTGTCAGTGGTCAGTGGTCACTCATTGGTCACTCAGTGGTCACTCAGGGTCACTCACTGGTCACTCTCTGGTCACTCTCTGGTCACTCAGGGCTGCTGGTGCTGACCGTGGCCACGGCTCTGTCAGTGGTCAGTGGTCACTCAGGGTCACTCATTGGTCACTCTCTGGTCACTCAGGGCTGCTGGTGCTGACCGTGGCCACGGCTCGGACCGACGGCTTCCGGCGCTTCCTGCGCTCGGCCCGGGCGTTTAATTACACCGTTATGGTAATGTATGCTAATGAGGGCATGCTAATGAGGGCAGGGAATAACAGACAGGGCCTTTAATTACAGCGTTATGGTAATGTATGCTAATGAGGGCATGCTAATGAGGGGTTATAGGGAATTACAGACTGGGCCTTTAATTACAGCGTTATGGTAATGTATGCTAATGAGGGCATGCTAATGAGGGGTTACGGGAATTACAGACAGGGCCTTTAATTACAGCGTTATGGTAATGTATGCTAATGAGGGGCGGGATATGCTAATGAGGGCTAACGGGAATTGCAGACAGGGCCTTTAATTACACCGTTATGGTAATGTATGCTAATGAGGGCATGCTAATGAGGGCTAACGGGAATTACAGACAGGGCCTTTAATTACAGCGTTATGGTAATGTATGCTAATTAATGCGTGCTAATGAGGGCTAACGGGAATTACAGACAGGGCCTTTAGTTACAGCGTTATGGTAATGTATGCTAATGAGGGCATGCTAATGAGGGCTAACGGGAATTACAGACAGGGCCTTTAGTTACACAGTTATGGTAATGTATGCTAATTTGTGTAATGTATGCTAATGAGGGGCGGGGCTAATGGCTTTAATTACACTGTTATTGTAATGTATGCTAATGAGGGCATGCTAATAAGGGCTGGGATGTGCTAATGAGGGGTTATGGGCCTTTAACTACAGTGTTATGGTAATGTATGCTAATTAATGTATGCTAATGAGGGCAGGAATAACAGACAGGGCCTTTAATTACAGCGTTATGGTAATGTATGCTAATTGGTATATGCTAATGAGGGCAGGAATAACTGACAGGGCCTTTAATTACAGCGTTATGGTAATGTATGCTAATTAGTGTGTGCTAATGAGGGCAGGAATAACAGACAGGGCCTTTAACTACAGCGTTATGGTAATGTATGCTAATTAGTGTATGCTAATGAGGGCAGGAATAACAGACAGGGCCTTTAACTACACTGTTATGGTAATGTATTCTAATTAATGTATGCTAATTAGGGGCGGGATATGCGAATGAGGGCAGGGCTAACGGCCTTCAACTACAGCGTTATGGTAATTTATGCTAATGAGGGGCAACTTTTCGCCATTTTTTGCCCGTTTTTCACTGTTTCTTCACCGTTTTTCGTGCGTTTTTTTGCCGTAATTCCATTTTTTTCAAAATTTTTCCCAAAATTGGTGTTTTTCACCCCAAACTTTGGACCTGGGCCAGCTCTGAATGCCCCCATTTTGGTGCCGTTTTCCTTGTTTTTTTCCACCATTTTTTGCCCATTTTTTCCCGTTTTTTCACCGTTTTTCGCTGTTTTTTCACCGTTTTTCTTGCTTTTCTTCGCCATTATTCCATTTTTTTTTTAATTTTTCCCAAAATCCCGTTTTTTCTCCCCAGACGCTGGGCCTGGGCCGGCGCTGGCGCGGGGGGGACACAGAAAAATTTCCCCATTTTTTGGGGCCATTTTTCCCCATTTTTCCACCGTTTTCCCCCATTTTTTCACCGTTTTTTGCACGTTTTCCCCGTAATTCCATATTTTTTTTAAATTTTTCCCAAAATTGGTGTTTTTCACCCCAAACTTTGGACCTGGGCCAGCTCTGAATTTCCTCATCTTTGCGCCATTTTCCCTCGTTTTTTCCACCATTTTTTGCCCGTTTTTCACCGTTTTTTTGCCGTTTTTCTTGCTTTTTTTGACCGTAATTCCATTTTTTTTCCTTTTTCCCAAAATGTGTGTTTTTCACCCCAGACTCTGGGCCTGGGCCGGCGCTGGTGCGGGGGGGGCACAGAACAATTTCCCCATTTTTGGGCCGTTTTTTGCCCGTTTTTTCACCGTTTTTGGCCGTTTTTTCGCCGTTTTTCTTGCTTTTTTTTGCCATAATTCCATTTTTTTTCATTTTTCCCAAAACGTGTGTTTTTCTCCCCAAACTTTAGGCCTGGGCCAGCTTTGAATTTCCTAATTTTTGGGCCATTTCCCCCTGTTTTTTCCACCATTTTTTGCCCGTTTTTCGCCCTTTTTTCACCGTTTTTTCACCGTTTTTCTTGCTTTTTTTTGCCATAATTCCATTTTTTTTCACTTTTTCCCAAAATGCCGTTTTTTCTCCCCAAAGTTTGGACCTGGGCCAGCTCTGAATTTCCCCATTTTTGGGCCATTTTTCACCATTTTTTGCCCGGTTTTTCACCGGTTTTGGCCGTTTTTTTGCCGTTTTTCTTGCTTTTTTTGGCCATAATTCCATTTTTTTTAACTTTTTCCCAAAATCCCGTTTTTTCTCCCCAGAATCTGGACCTGGGCCGGCTCTGAATTTCCCCATTATTGGGCCATTTTCCCTCTTTTTTTCCGCCATTTTTTGCCCGTTTTTGGCCGTTTTTTCACCGTTTTTCTTGCTTTTTTTTGCCATAATTCCATTTTTTTTTCACTTTTTCCCAAAATCCCGTTTTTTCTCCCCAGACTCTGGGCCTGGGCCGGCGCTGGCGCGGGGGGGACACAGAAAAATTTCTCAATTTCTGGGTCATTTTTTCACCTTTTTTCACCCATTTCATGCCTGTTTTTCGCCGTTTTTTCACCGTTTTTTGCACGTTTTTTCCCTGTAATTCCATTTTTTAAAAATTTTTCCCAAAATTGGTGTTTTTCACCCCAAACTTTGGGCCTGGGCCAGCTCTGAATTTCCCCATTTTTGGGCCTTTTTCCCTCAATTTTTTTCACCATTTTTTTTCCCATTTTTTGCCACTTTTCGCCGTTTTTTCACCGTTTTTCTTGCTTTTTTTTGCCATAATTCCTTTTTTTTTCACTTTTTCCCAAAACGTGTGTTTTTCACCCCAGACTCTGCGTCTGGGCCAGTGCTGGCGCGGGGGGGACGCAGAACAATTTCCCCATTTTTTGGGCCGTTTTCCCTCTTTTTTTTCACCATTTTTTACCCGTTTTTTGCCGTTTTTCACCGTTCTTTGCATGTTTTTCCCGTAATTCCATTTTGTTAAAATTTTTCCCAAAATTTGTGTTTTTTGCCCCAGACTCTGGGCCTGGACCAGCTCTGAATTTCCCCATTTTTGGGTCGGTTTTCCCTCATTTTTTTCGCAATTTTTCGCCATTTTTTGCCCATTTTTTCGTTGTTTTTTGTGCGTTTTTTTCCCCGTAATTCCATTTTTTAAAAATTTTTCCCAAAATGTATATTTTTCACCCCAAACTTTGGGCCTGGGCCGGCGCTGGCGCGGGGGGGACACAGAACAATTTCTCCATTTCTGGGCCGTTTTTTCACCTTTTTTCACCCGTTTTTTGCCCGTTTTTGCCCGTTTTTCACCGTTTATCTTTCTTTTTTTTTTTCCGTAATTCCATTTTTTAAAATTTTTCCCAAACTTTGTGTTTTTCACCCCAAACTTTAGGCCTGGGCCAGCTCTGAATTTCCCCATTTTCGGGCTATTTTTAACCATTTTTTGTCCGTTTTTTCACCGTTTTTCGCTGTTTTTTCACCGTTTTTCTTGCTTTTTTTTGCCGTAATTCCATTTTTTTTTCCTTTTTCCCAAAATCCCGTTTTTTCTCCCCAGACGCTGGGCCTGGGCCGGCGCTGGCGCGGGGGGGACGTGGCGCGCAGCCCCGGCGGGGGACAGAAGGTTCGGTGGCTCCGGGCGGCGCTGCGGCCGCTGCGGCACCGGCACCGCCTCGTGCTGCTCTTCGTCGACAGGTTCGGGGTGAAAAACCGGGAATTCGGGAAAATTCGGGAAATTCGGGAAAATTCGGGGAAATTCGGGGAAATTCGGGGGAATTTGGGAAAATTTGGGGAAATTTGGGTGCGAAAATGGGGGTTTTGGGGGGAAAAATGGGGATTTTGGGGGGAAATTAGGAGGAAAATTCTGGGTTGTTGGTGGGAAATATCGGGGGAGATTTCAGGATTTTGGGAGTAAATTTGGGGATTTTGGGAAAATCCAGAATTTTGGGTGGGAAGTTTGAAATTTGGGGGGCTAAAAATGGGCATTTTGGGAGGAAATTTAGGAATTTTGGGGGGAAATCCTGGGAATTCGGGGAAATTCGGGGAAATTTGGGTGTGAAAATGGGGGTTTTGGGGGGAAAAATGGGGATTTTGGGGGAAATTAGGGGGAAAATTCTGGGTTTTTGGTGGGAAATATTGGGGAGATTTGGGGGATTTGGGGGAAAATCCAGGGATTTTGGGGGGAAATGCCAGGATTTTGGGAAAATCCAGAATTTTGGGTGGGAATTGGGGATTTTGGGAGAAAATTTTGGGGATTTTTGACAGAAAAATTCCAGGGTTTTGGGAGGAAATTTTGGGGGAGATTTGGGGATTTGGGGGAAATTTGGAGGATTTTTGGGGGAAAATCCCAGGATTTTGGGAAAATCCAGAATTTTGGGGGGGAAATTTGGGAGTTTGGGGAGGGGGAATGGATTTTGGGGAGAATTCCAGGATTTTTTGGGAAATCCTGAATTTTGGATGAAATTTGGGGATTTTGGGAGAAAGTTGGGGGGAAAATCTCAGGATTTTGGGAAAATCCCGAATTTTGGGTGGGAATTTTGAAATTTGGGGGGCTAAAAATGGGGATTTTGGGAAGAAATTTGGGAATTTGGGGGGAAATCACGGGAATTCGGGAAAAGTCGGGAAAATTCGGGACAATTTGGGAAAATTTGGGTGTGAAAATGGGGGTTTTGGGGGGAAATTAGGGGGAAAATTCAGTGGTTTTGGTGGGCATTTTGGGGGGAAATTTGGGAATTTTGGGGGGAAATCCAAGGATTTGGGGAAAATTGGGAATTTTAGGCATAAAAATGGGGGTTTTGGGGATTTGGGAAAAATTTGGGAATTTTGGGGGGATTTTGGGGTGATTTTGGGGTCATTTTGGGGTGATTTTTGATATGAATTTGGGGTTATTTTTGGAGTCATTTTGGGATCATTTTCAGGGTTTTTTTGGGATGATTTTGGGGTGATTTTTTGCTGATTTTGTGATGATTTTTGGGATTGATTTTATGGAATGGTTTTGGGGATGATTTTGGGGTGATTTTGGGGTCGTTTTTAGGGGATTTTTGGGGTGATTTTGGGGTGATTTTGCCCGTTTTTGGGGTTCCTAACCCCGTTTTCCCCCAGCTACAACGTGGTGTTCGCGGGGGGCCCCGGGGGGGGGTTTTGGGGGGTTTTGGGGGTTTTTGGGGGGGTTGTTGGGGGTTTTTGCGGTGGTTTTGGGGGGGGTTTTTGGGGTGGTTTTGGGGATGATTTTGGGGTGATTTTTGGAGTCATTTTGGGGTCATTTTGGGGTCATTTTCAGGGTTTTTTTGGGATGATTTTGGGGTGATTTTTTGCCATTTTTGGGGTGGTTTTGGGATGATTTTGGGGTGATTTTGGGGTGATTTTTTGAGTCATTTTGGGGTCATTTTCAGGGTTTTTTTGGGATGATTTTGGGGTGATTTTTTGCCATTTTTGGGGTGATTTTGGGATGATTTGGGGATGGTTTTGGGGTGATTTTGGGGTCATTTTTAGGGGATTTTTGGGGTCATTTTGGGGGTAATTTTAGGATGGTTTTGGGGATGATTTTGGGGCGATTTTGGGATTGTTTTTATGGGATTTTGGGATGATTTTTGGGTCGTTTTTATGGGATTTTGGGGGTAATTTTAGGGTGATTTTGGGGTGATTTTGGGGTGATTTTTTGCCATTTTTGGGTGATTTTCCCCATTTTTCCCCCCAGCTACGACGTGGTGTTCGCGGGGGGCCCCGGGGGGGTTTTGGGGTGATTTTTGGGGTGGTTTTTGAGATGATTTTGGGGTGATTTTTGGAGTCATTTTGGGATCATTTTCAGGGTTTTTTTGGGGTAATTTTGGGTCGTTTTTAGGGGATTTTTGGGGTGATTTTGGGATGATTTTGGGGTGATTTTTGCGTCATTTTAAGGGGATGTTTGGGGTGATTTTGGGATGATTTTGAGATGGTTTTGGGGTGATTTTTTGCCATTTTTGGGGTGATTTTCCTCCTTTCCCCCCCCCAGCTACGACGTGGTGTTCGCAGGGGGCCCCGGGGGGGTTTTTGGGTGATTTTTGGGGTGGTTTTTGAGATGATTTTGGGGGGATTTTTGGAGTCATTTTGGGGCCATTTTCAGGGTTTTTCTGGGATGATTTTGGGGTGATTTTTTGCCGATTTTGGAATGGTTTGGGGATGATTTTGGGATGATTTTTGGGTCGTTTTTAGGGGATTTTTTGGGTGATTTTGGGATGATTTTGGGATGATTTTTGGGTCGTTTTTAGGGGATTTTTGGGGTGATTTTGGGGGTAATTTTAGGGTGATTTTGGGATGATTTTGGGGTGATTTTGGGATGATTTTGGGATGATTTTGGGGTGATTTTGGGGTGATTTTGGGATTGTTTTTATGGGATTTTGGGATGATTTTGGGGTGATTTTGAGGTCGTTTTTAGAGGATTTTTGGGATGATTTTGGGGTGATTTTGGGATGATTTTGGGATGATTTTGGGGTGATTTTTGCGTCATTTTAAGGGGATGTTTGGGCTGATTTTGTGATGATTTTGGTTTGATTTTGGGGTTATTTTTTGCTGTTTTTTGGGTGATTTCTGGATATTTTTGGGGTGGTTTTTGAGGATTTTTGTGCTCATTTTGGGATGATTTTGGAGTGATTTTGGGGTGATTTTGGAATTGTTTTTATGGGGTTTTGGGGGGATTTTGGGGTGATTTTTGCGTCATTTTAAGGGGATTTTTGGGGTGATTTTGGGGATAATTTTAGGGTGATTTTGGGGTGTTTTTTGCTATTTTTGGGGTGATTTTCCCCCTTTTCTCCCCAGCTACGACGTGGTGTTCGCGGGGGGCCCCGGGGGGTTTTGGGGGGTTTTTGGGGTGGTTTTTTGGTGTTTTTGGGGTGATTTTGGCCGTTTTTGGGGTCCCTAACCCCCTTTTTCCCCCCAGCTACGACGTGGTGTTCGCGGGGGGCCCCGGGGGGGTTTTTGGGGGTTTTTGGGGTGATTTATGGCCATTTTTTGGGTTTTTGGGGTGATTTTGGGGGTTTTGGGGGTGGTTTTTGAGGGTTTTGGGGGTTTTTGTGGTTTTTAGCCGTTTCTGGAGTGGTTTTGTGGGTTTTTGGGGTGGTTTTGGGATGATTTTTGGGATGATTTTGGGGCGATTTTGGGATTGTTTTTGTGGGATTTTGGGATGATTTTGGGGTCACTTTTAGGGGATTTTTGGGGTCATTTTGGGGGTAATTTTAGGATGGTTTTGGGGATGATTTTGGGGCGATTTTGGGATTGTTTTTATGGGATTTTGGGATGATTTTTGGGTCATTTTTAGAGGATTTTTGGGGTGATTTTGGGGGTAATTTTAGGGTGATTTTGGGGCGATTTTGGGGGTAATTTTAGGGTGATTTTGGGGTGATTTTTTGCCATTTTTGGGTGATTTTCCCCCTTTTTCCCCCAGCTACGACGTGGTGTTCGCGGGGGGCCCGCGGGAGCTGCTGGCCAAGTTCGGGGCCGCGGGCTCGGGGGTCCTGTTCGCTGCCGAGGGGTTCTGCTGGCCCCAGGGGGGTCTGGCCCCACTGTACCCCCCCGCCCCCCCCGGGGGGAAACCCTTCCTCAACTCCGGGGGTACGGGGGGGTTGGGGGGGTTTGGGGGGGATTTGTGGAGGTTTGGGGGTCCCGGGTGGGATTTGGGGGGTCTGGGGGGGATTTGGGGGGGTTTGAGGGAATTTGGGGGGTCCTGGGGGGGATTTGGGGAAGTTTGGGGGAATTTGGGGGGGTCTTAGGGGGGTTGGGGCAGTTTGGGGGCGATTTGGGGGGTCCTGGCGGGGGTTTGGGGGGGTCCTGGGGAGGTTTGGGGGGGTTTGGGTGGGATTTGGGGGAGATTTGGGGGAGTTTCGGGGGAATTTGGGGCAGTTTGGGGGGGTTTGGGGGGAATTTGGGGAGGTTTGGGGGGCTTTTGGGGAAGTTTGGGGGGGGTTTGGGGGGATTTGGGGGGGTTTTGGGGCAGTTTGAGGGGGTTTGGGGGGATTTGGGGGGTTTTGGGGTGGATTTCAGGGGGTTTGGGGAGGTTTGGGGAGTCCTGGGGGGATTTGGGGCGGTTTGGGGGGTCCTGGGGGGTATTTGGGGGGATTTGGGGGGGTTTGGCGGGTCTTGGGTGGGGTTTGAGGGGTCTTGAGGGGGTTTAGGGGGGATTTGGGGTGGGCTTGGGGGCAATTTGGGGGGCTTGGAGGGGATTTGGGGGGTCCTGGGTGGGATTTGGGGAAATTTGGGGGGGATTTGGGGCAGTTTGGGGGGGATTTGGGGGAATCTTGGGGGGGTTTGGAGGGGTCATGGGTGGGATTTGGGGGGTTTGGGGGGGTTTCGGGGAAATTTGGGGCAGTTTGGGGGGGATTTGGGGGATCTTGAGGGGGATTTGGGGAGGTCTGAAGGAATTTAGGGGGTCTTGGGGGGGATTTGGGGGGTCCTGGGGGGGTTGGGGGGGTTTTGGGGCGGTTTGGGGGAATTTGGGGGGGATTTGGGAAGTTTGGGGGGGGATTTGGGGAAGTTTAGGGGAATTTGGGGGGGTTTGGGGGGTCCTGGGTGGGATTTGGGGGGATTTGGGGGGGTCTTGGGGGGGATTTGGGGGGTCCTTGGTGGGATTTGGGGAAGTTTGGGGGGGATTTGGGGGATCCTGAGGGGGTTTTGGGGAGTTTTGAGGGAATTTGGGGGGTCCTGGGGGGGATTTGGGGGATCCCAGAGTGATTTTTGGGGTGATTTCCAGGGGTTTTTTGGGGTGATTTCTGGGGGTTTTGGGTGTTGATTTTGGGGTAATTTCTGGGGATTTTGGGTTATTTTTGGGGTAATTTCTGGGATAATTTCTGGGGTTTGGGGATATTTTTGGGGTGATTTCTGGGGATTTCTGGGATTTTTTGGGGTGATTTTTGGGGTAATTTCTGGGAATTTTGGGATATTTTTGGGGTAATTTTTGGGGTAATTTCTGGGCATTTTGGGATATTTTTGGGATATTTTTGGGGTAATTTCTGGGGATTTTTGGGATATTTTTGGGGTGATTTCTGTGGATTTTGGGGTTTTTAGGCATCGTGGGCTACGCCCCGGCCCTGTGGGCTCTGGTGGAGCGTTGGCACTTCCGGGACGACGACGACGATCAATTATTTTATACCCAATTATACCTCAATTCCGAGCTCAGGGTGAGCCCCAAAATCCCCCAAAATCACCCCAAAATATCCCAAAAATATCCCAAAAATAACCCCCAAAATCACCCAAAAAATCCCCAAAATATCCCCAAAATATCACTAAAAATACCCCAAAAATATCAATTATTTTATACCAAATTATACCTGAATTCCGAGCTCAGGGTGAGCCCCAAATACCCCAAAATCACCCCAAAAATATCCCCAAAAAAATCACCCCCAAATCACCAAAAGAATTCCCCCAAAATCCCCCCAAAATATCACTGAAATCCCCAAAAATATCAATTATTTTATACCCAATTATACCTCAATTCTGAGCTCAGGGTGAGCCCAAAATTCACCCAAATCACCCCAAAAATATCCCCAAAATTCACCCAAAAATCACCCAAAAAATCGCCCCAAAATCCCCCCAAAATCACACCAAAATATCACTAAAATACCAAAAAAATATCAATTATTTTATAGCAAATTACACCTGAATTCCGAGCTCAGGGTGAGCCCCAAATTCACCCAAATCACCCCAAAAATATCCTCAAAATTCACCCAAAAATCACCAAAAAAATAGCCCCAAAATCCCCCCAAAATTCCCCCAAAATATCACTAAAATACCCAAAAAATATCAATTATTTTATAGAAAATTACACCTGAATTCCGAGCTCAGGGTGAGCCCAAAATCCCCCAAAATCACCCCAAAAATCTCCTTTGTCCCCCCAAAATCCTCCCAAATTTTTCTTTTTCCCCCTAAAATCTCCTTTTTTCCACCCCCAAAATCTCCTTTTTTCCCCCAAAATCCCCCCAAAATTCTCTTTTTCCCCAAAAAAACTCCTTTCCCCCAAAAAATCTCTTTTTTCCCCCCAAAACTCCCCCCAAAATCCTTTTTTTCCACAAAAAAATCTCCTTTTTTCCCCCCAAAATCCTCTTTTTCCCCCAAAAAAATCTCCTTTTTTTGCCCTAAAATCCCCCTAAATCTCCCTTTTTCCCAAAAATCTCCTTTTTCTCCCCAAAATTCCCCCAAAATTCTCTTTTTTTCCCCAAAAAATCTCCTTTTCCCCCCAAAAATCTCTTTTTTTTCCCCCAAAACTCCCCCAAAAATCCCTTTTTTTCCCCAAAAAATCTCCTTTTTTCCCCCCAAATCCCCTTTTTTCCCCAAAATTCTCTTTTTTGCCCAAATTCCCCCAAAAATGCGGAATTTTGGGGCAGGAGCGGCTGGGGCTGGCGCTGGACCATCACTCCAGAATCTTCCAGAACCTCAACGGGGCCCTGGGTGAGCGGGGGGGGGGGGGGATTTTGGGAAATTTTGGGGGATTTGGGAAATTTGGGAGGATTTGGGGGGATTTTGGAGGGTCCTGGGGGGAAAATTAGGGAGATTTTGGGGAATTTGGGGGGGGATTTAGAGGATTTTGGGGGGTCCAGGGGGGATTTGGGGGGATTTGGGGGAAAATTGGGGAATTTTGGGGGATTTGGGGAGATTTTGGGGAATTTTGGGGGGATTTTGGGGAGATTTTGGGGGTCCAGGGGGGATTTGGGGGGAATTTTGGGGGTCCAGGGGGGATTTGGGGGGAATTTTGGGGGGATTTGGGGGGATTTGGGGGGTCCTGGGGGAATTTTGGGGGAATTTGGGGGGATTTTGGGGGTCCAGGGGGGATTTGGGGGGAATTTGGGGGGATTTTGGGGGATTTGGGAAATTTTGGGGGATTTTAGGGGGTCTAGGGGGGATTTTGGGGGATGCTGGGGGGGGATTTAGAGGATTTTGGGGGGTCCAGGGGGGATTTGGGGGAAAATTGGGGAATTTTGGGGGATTTGGGGGAAAATTGGGGAATTTTGGGGGATTTGGGGGGAAATTGGGGGAATTTGGGGGGATTTTGGGGGGTCCTGGGGGAAAATTGGGGAGATTTTGGGGAATTTTGGTGGATTTGGGGGGTCCTTGGGGGATTTGGGGGGATTTGGGGGGTCCTGGGGGGAAAATTAGGGAGATTTTGGGGAATTTGGGGGGGGATTTAGAGGATTTTGGGGGGTCCAGGGGAGATTTTGGGGGATTTGGGGGAAAATTGGGGGAATTTGGGGGGATTTTGGGGGGTCCTGGGGGGATTTTGGGGGGTCCTGGGGGAAAATTGGGGTGATTTGGGGGAATTTGGGGGGGATTTTTGGGAATTTTTTGGGAATTTGGGGGGTCCTGGGGGGATTTAGGGGGTTTTTGGGGGGTCCAGGGGAAAATTGGGAGATTTTGGGAAATTTGGGAGGGATTTAGAGGAGTTTGGGGGGGATTTTGGGGGGGTCCTGGGGGGAATTTGGGGGTAATTGGGGAATTTTGGGGCATCCATGTGGGGGTCCAGGGGGATTTTGGGCAGATTTTGGGGGTCCTGGAGAGATCTGGGGGAATTTTGGGGGATTTTAGGGGGTCCTGGTGGGATTTTGGGGGGTCCTGGGGGAAAACTGGGGGGATTTGGGGGTCCTGGGGGGATTTTGGGGAGATTTAGGGGAAATTTGGGGGGAATTTTACGGGGTCCAGGGGGGATTTGGGGGGATTTTAGGGAATTTTGGGGGAAATTGGGGAGAATTTTGGGGAATTTTGGTGGATTTGGGGTGTCCAGGAGGGATTTTGGGGAATTTTGGGGGGTCCAGGGGGGATTTGGGGGGATTTGGGGGGATTTTAGGGGATCCAGGAGGGATTTTGGGGGAATTTTGGGGGGTCCTGGGGGAAAATTGGGGAGATTTTGGGGAATTTTGGTGGATTTGGGGGGTATTTGGGGGGAAATTGGGGGGATTTTGGGGAGATTTTGGTGGATTCGGGGGGTCCTGAGGGGATCTGGGGGGAATTTTGGGGGAATTTTGGTGGATTTGGGGGTCCTGGAGGGATTTGGGGGAATTTTGGGGGGATTTGGTGGGATTTTGGGGTCCTTGGGCCTATTTTGGGGTCCCTGGTGGGATTTTGAGGTTCCCAGACCAATTTTTAGGGGTCCCAGACCCATTTTTGGGGTTCCCACTCTGATTTTTGGGGTTCCCACTCTGATTTTTGGGGTCTCACTCTGATTTTGGGGTCCCCCAGAGGAGCTCTCGATTCGCTTCGAGCCCGACGGGAACCGAGTGAGGAACGACCTGAGCGGGACCTGGCCGGTGGTGATCCATGGGAATGGTCCTACAAAGGTACCAAAATCCCCCAAATTCACCCCAAAATTCACCCCAAAATATCCCAAATTCACCCCAAAATCCCAGCCCGTGGTGATCCACGGAAACGGCCCTACAAAGGTACCAAAATCCCCCAAATTCACCCCAAAATTCACCCCAAAATATCCCAAATTCACCCCAAAATCCCAGCCCGTGGTGATCCACGGAAACGGCCCTACAAAGGTACCAAAATCCCCCAAATTCACCCCAAAAATATCCCAAATTCACCCCAAAATCCCAGCCGGTGGTGATCCACGGAAACGGCCCTACAAAGGTACCAAAATCCCCCAAATTCACCCCAAAATTCACCCCAAATTCACCCCAAAATCCCAGCCCGGGGTGATCCACGGAAACGGCCCTACAAAGGTACCAAAATCCCCCAAATTCACCCCAAAAATACCCCAAATTCACCCCAAAATCCCAGCCCGTGGTGATCCACGGAAACGGCCCTACAAAGGTACCAAAATCCCCCAAATTCACCCCAAAATTCACCCCAAATTCACCCCAAAATCCCAGCCCGTGGTGATCCACGGAAACGGCCCTACAAAGGTACCAAAATCCCCCAAATTCACCCCAAAATTCACCCCAAAATCCCAGCCGGTGGTGATCCACGGAAACGGCCCTACAAAGGTACCAAAATCCCCCAAATTCACCCCAAAAATATCCCAAATTCACCCCAAAATCCCAGCCCGTGGTGATCCACGGAAACGGCCCTACAAAGGTACCAAAATCCCCCAAATTCACCCCAAAATATCCCAAATTCACCCCAAAATCCCAGCCAGTGGTGATCCATGGGAACGGCCCTACAAAGGTACCAAAATCCCCCAAATTCACCCCAAAATTCACCCCAAAATCCCAGCCCGTGGTGATCCACGGAAACGGCCCTACAAAGGTACCAAAATCCCCCAAATTCACCCCAAAAATATCCCAAAATTCACCCCAAAATCCCAGCCGGTGGTGATCCACGGAAACGGCCCTACAAAGGTACCAAAATCCCCCAAATTCACCCCAAATTCACCCCAAAATCCCAGCCCGTGGTGATCCATGGGAATGGTCCTACAAAGGTACCAAAATCCCCCAAATTCACCCCAAAATTCACCCCAAAATATCCCAAATTCACCCCAAAATCCCAGCCAGTGGTGATCCACGGAAACGGCCCTACAAAGGTACCAAAATCGCCAAAATTCACCCCAAAATTCACCCCAAATTCACCCCAAAATCCCAGCCCGTGGTGATCCACGGAAACGGCCCTACAAAGGCACCAAAATCCCCCAAATTCACCCCAAAATTCACCCCAAAAATATCCCAAAATCCCAGCCCATGGTGATCCACGGAAACGGCCCTACAAAGGTACCAAAATCCCCCAAATTCACCCCAAAATTCACCCCAAAATATCCCAAAATCCCAGCCAGTGGTGATCCATGGGAATGGTCCTACAAAGGTACCAAAATCCCCCAAATTCACCCCAAAAATATCCCAAATTCACCCCAAAATCCCAGCCAGTGGTGATCCACGGAAACGGCCCTACAAAGGTACCAAAAACCCCAAAATTCACCCCAAAATTCACCCCAAAATCCCAGCCCGTGGTGATCCACGGAAACGGCCCTACAAAGGTACCAAAATCCCCCAAATTCACCCCAAAATTCACCCCAAAATTCACCCCAAAATATCCCAAATTCACCCCAAAATCCCAGCCCGTGGTGATCCACGGAAATGGTCCTACAAAGGTACCAAAATCCCCAAAATTCACCCCAAAATTCACCCCAAAATATCCCAAATTCACCCCAAAAAATCCCCAAAAATCCCCTCAAACCCGACCTCAAAAAACAAAAAAAATCCCCCAATATCCTTTCCAAAATCCCCAAAATTCACCCCAAAATCCTCCAAAAAAACCTCAAAATTCGCCCCAAATGTCCCCAAACCTCCCAAAACTGTCCCCAAATGTCCCAAGAATCCCAAAATTGTCCCCAAAAAGTCCCCAAGGTGTCCCCAAATGTCCCAAAAATGTTCCCAAACCCCCCAAATGTCCCAAACCCCCCAAAAGTCCCCAAAACCGTCCAAAATGTCCCCAAATGTCCCCAAATGTCCCCCAAAAACCCGAAATTGTCCCCAAATGTCCCAAACCCCCCAAATGTCCCCAAAAATGTCCCCAATTTTCCCAAATCCCCCAAATGTCCCCAAAACGTCCCCAAAACCCCCCAAATGTCCCCAAAACCCCCAAATGTCCCAAAACCCCCAAATGTCCCAAAACCCCTGAGATTGTCCCCAAATGTCCCCAAATGTCCCCAAATTTCCCAAAAATGTCCCTAAATTTCCTCAAATGTCCCCAAACCCCCAGGATTGTCCCCAAGTGTCCCCAAATGTCCCCAAAGTGTCCCCAAATGTCTCAAAATTTCCCCAAAATTGTCCCAAAAATGTCCCCAAATGTCCCCAAATCCCCCCAAATGTCCCCAAATGTCTCCAAAATCTCCCAAAAACACCCCAAGAACGTCCCGTAAATGTCCCAAAACTGTCCCCAAATGTCCCAAAACTGTCCCCAAATGTCCCCAAATGTCCCAAAAACCCCCAAATGTCCCCAAATTTCCCAAACCCCCAAAATTGTCCCCAAAACTGCCAAAAATGTCCCAAAATTTCCCAGAAATGTCCCCAAATTTCCTGAAAATATCCCCAAAAATGTCCCCAGATGTCCCCAAAACCCCCTGAATTCTCCCCAAATTGTCCCCAAATTTCTGAAAATGTCCCCAAATGTCCCAAAACCGCCGGAATTGTCCCCAAACCCCCCCTGTTGCAGGTGGCTCTGAACTCTCTGGCCAATTACGTGCCCCTGGGGTGGCGCCCGGGCGGCTGCGGGGACTGTGAGAGGGGCCGGAGGGACCTGAGGGACACCCCGGTAATTTGGGGATTTTGGGGGGTTTGGGGGGATTTTGGAGGGAGTTTGGGGGGATTTGGGGCAGTTTGGGGGCTCCTGGGGATATTTTACGGGGTCCTGGGGGAATTTTGGGGGATCCTGGGGGAGATTTGGGTGGATTTTGGGGGGGTTCTGGGAAAGTTTGGGGGGATTTTTGGGGGTTCTGGGGGGGTTTGAGGGGATTTGGGGGGATTTTGGGGCAGTTTGGGGGGGATTTGGGGGTCCCAGGGGGATTTGGGGGAATTTGGGGGGATTTTGGGGGCTCCTGGAGGGATTTTGGGGGGATTTTGGGGGGTTTTGGGGGGATTTCGGGGGGAGTTTGGGGGGTCCTGGGGGAATTTGGGGGGAATTGGGGCAGTGTGGGGGGTCCTGGGGGGGTTTTGGGGAGAATTTGGGGGAATTTGGGGGGTCCTGGGGGGATTTTGGGGGGATTTGGTGGGTTCTGGGGGGGATTTGGGGTTTTGGGGGGACTGCGAGAGGGGCCTAAGGGACCTGCGGGACACCCCGGTAATGGGGGGCAGGGGGGTTTGGGGGGATTTTGGGGCAGTTTGGGCGGTCCTGAGGGAGGTTTGGGGGGGGTTTGGGGGGATTTTGGGGAGATTTTGGGGGTCCTGGGGGGGGTTGGGGGGGATTTGGAGGGAGTTTGGGGGGATTTGGGGGGGTTTTGGGGGGTCCTGGGGGGAATTTGGGGGAGTTTGGGGGGGAATTTGGGCTGTTTTGGGGCAGTTTGTGGGGTCTTGGGGGGATTTTGGGGGGTCTGGGGGGATTTTGGGGCAGTTTGGGGGGTCCTGGGGGGATTTTGGGGGGTCCTGGGGGGCTTGGGGGGGGTCCTGGGGAGACTTTGGGGGAGTTTGGGGGGTTTTGGGGAGTTTGGGGGGTCCTGGAGGGATTTTGGGGGGATTTTGGGGGGTCCTGGGGGGGATTTGGGTGAAATTTGGGGGGATTTTGGGGCAGTTTGGGGGGTTCTGGAGGGATTTTGAGGGGAGTTTGGGGGGAATTTGGGGGATTTTGAGGGAGTTTTGGGGCAGCTTGGGGGGTCCTGGGAGGATTTTGGGGGCAGTTTTGTGGGTCTTGGGGGGATTTTGGGGGGGTTTTGGGGGGATTTTGGGGCAGTTTGGGGGATCCTGGGGAGATTTGGGAGGATTTTGGGGGGTTCTGGGGAAGTTTGGGGGGATTTCTGGGGGGGTCCTGGGGGGATTTTCGGGGGATTTTTGGGGGGTCCTGGGGGGGTTTTGGGGTCCTGGGGGGATGTTGGGGGATTTAGGGGGGTCAGGGGGGGTTTTGGGGGGATTTTGGGGCAGTTTGGGGGGTCCTGGGGGAATTTTGGGGTGACTGCAAGAGGGACCTGAGACCCCTGAGGGACACCCCGGTAATTTGGGGGGGTCCTGGGGGGGTTTGGGGGGATTTTTGGGGGGTCTTGGGGGGATTTTGGGGGGATTTGGGGGGAGTTTGGGGCAGTTTGGGGGGATTTGGGGTGTTATTTGGTGATTTTGGGTGATTTTGGGGGGTTTTGGGTGATTTTGGGTGTTATTGGGTGGGTTCCGGCTACTCTGGGTGTTTTTGGGGATTTTGGGTGGATTTGGGGTTTTGGGGGTGATTTTTTGGGTGATTTTTTGGGTGATTTTTGGGGGTTTTGGGTGATTTTGGGGGGTTTTGGGTGGATTTTGGGTGTTATTGGGTGGGTTTGGGGGTTTTGGGTGATTTGGGGTTTTTGGGTTATTTTTGGGAGTTTTGGGGGGTTTTTGGAGGGTTTTGGGTGATTTTGGGGGCTTTTTGGGGGGTTTTGGGTGGATTTGGGTTTTTTTTGGGGTGATTTTTTGGGGGTTTTGGGTGGATTTGGGTTTTTTGGGGTGATTTTTGGGGGTTTTTGGGGGTTTTTTGGGGGTTTGGGATGATTTTTGGGGATTTTTAAGGTTTGTTGGGGGGGTTTGGGTGATTTTTGGGGGGTTTTGGGGGGGTTTTGGGGTTTTTTTGGGGGTTTTGGGTGATTTTGGGGGTTTTGGGTGGATTTGGGGTTTTTGGGGTGATTTTGGGGGGTTTTGGGTGGATTTGGGGTTTTGGGGGTGATTTTTGGGGGTTTTGGGGGGTTTTTTGGGGGATTTTGGGTGATTTTGCGGGTTTTTTTTGGTTTTTTGGGGGGTTTTGGGGTTTTTTGGGTTGAGTTTTGGGGTTTTTTGGGTTTTTTGGCTGATTTTTGGGTGTTTTTGGGGTCCCCCAGCCCGAGGCGCTGCCCTGGGTGCTCATCGGGGTCTTCGTGGCCGAGCCCACCCCGTTCCTGCCCCAATTCCTGCGGCGGCTGCGGCGGCTGCGCTACCCCCGGGAGCGGCTGGGGCTGTTCCTGCACAACGCCGTGAGTCACAAACACCCCGAAAACACCCCAAAAATACCCCAAAATCATCCCAAAAATATCCCCAAAATATCCCTGAAATACCCCAAAAACACCCCCAAAAATAACCCTGAAATACCCCCGGGAGCGGCTGGGGCTGTTCCTGCACAACGCCGTGAGTCGGAAACACCCCAAAAACACCCCAAAAATACCCCAAAATCATCCCAAAAATACCCCAAAATCATCCCAAAAATATCCCTGAAATATCCCTGAAATACCCCAAAAACACCCCAAAAATACCCCAAAAAATCCCAAAAATGTCCCTGAAATACCCCAAAATCACCCCAAAAATATCCCAAAATTGTCCCAAAAATCCCCAAAAAATATCCCTGAAATACCCTAAAAATATCCCCAAAAATACCCCTAAAATATCCCAAAAATATCCTTAAAATACCCCAAAAATACCCAAAAAATATCCCTGAAATACCCAAAATAAAACCCCAAAATCACCCCAAAAATACCCCAAAATTTCCCCAAAACCACCCCAAAAATACCCCAAAATCATCCCAAAAATATCCCCAAAAATATCCCAAAAATACCCTAAAAATATCCCCAAAAATATCCCCAAAAATATCCCCAAAAATACCCCCAGGAGCGGCTGGGGCTGTTTCTGCACAACGCCGTGAGTCAGAAACACCCCAAATCATCCCAAAAATACCCCAAAAACACCCCAAAAATATCCTAAAAATATCCCTGAAATATCCCTGAAATACCCTAAAAATATCCCTAAAAACACCCCAAAAATATCCCAAAAATATCCCTGAAATACCCTAAAGATATCCCTAAAAAATCCCTGAAATATCCCTGAAATACCCTAAAAATATCCCCAAAAACATCCAAAAATATCCCTGAAATACCCCAAAAACATCCCAAAAATATCCCAAAACCATCCCTAAACCACCCCAAAAATATCCCCAAAAATATCCCTGAAATATTCCTGAAATATCCCTGAAATACCCTAAAACCACCCCAAAAATATCCCCAAAACTCTCCTAAAACCATCCCAAAAATATCCCTGGAATCACCCCAAAAATATCCCCAAAAACATCCCAAAAATATCCCCAAAAATATCCCTGAAATACCCTTAAAATATCCCCAAAATTATCCCCAAAAATATCCCCAAAAACACCCCAAAAATATCCCCAAAAATGCCCCCGGGAGCGGCTGGGGCTGTTCCTGCACAACGCCGTGAGTCAAAACACCCCAAAAACATCCCAAAAATATCCCAAAAATATCCCCAAAAACACCCCCAAAATATCCCTGAGATATCCCTGAAATATCCCTGAAATACCCTAAAAATATCCCCAAAAATATCCCAAAATTATCCCAAAAATATCCAAAAATACCCCCGGGAGCGGCTGGGGCTGTTCCTGCGCAACGCCGTGAGTCAGAAACACCCCAAAAACAACCCCAAAAACATCCCAAAAATACCCCAAAATCATCCCAAAAATACCCCAAATTATCCCAAAAATATCCCTGAAATATCCCTGAAATACCCTTAAAATATCCCTAAAAACATCCCAAAAATATCCCTGAAATACTCCAAAAACAGACCCAAATCATCCCAAAAATACCCCAAAATCACCCCAAAAATATCCCCAAAATATCCCTGAAATACCCTAAAAATATCCCCAAAAACATCCCAAAAATATCCCCAAAAATATCCCTGAAATATCCCTGAAATACCCTAAAAATATCCCCAAAAACACCCCAAAAATATCCCCAAAATCATCCCAAAAATATCCCCGAAATATCCCTGAAATATCCCTGAAATACCCCAAAAATATCCCAAAAACACCCCAAAAATATCCCCAAAAATGCCCCCGGGAGCGGCTGGGGCTGTTCCTGCACAACGCCGTGAGTCACAAACACCCCAAAAACATCCCAAAAATACCCCCAAATCACCCCAAAAATATCCCTGAAATATCCCAAAATCATTCCCAAAGTATCCCTGAAATATCCCAAAAATATCCCAAAATTATCCCTGAAATGCCCCAAAAATATCCCAAAAAATATCCCTGAAATACCCCAAAATCACCCCAAAGATATCCCTAAAATACCCCAAAAATACCCCTGAAATACCCTAAAAATATCCCCAAAAACATCCCAAAAATAACCCTGAAATCATCCCCAAAAATATCCCCAAAAATATCCCTGAAATACCCCAAAACCACCCCAAAAATATCCCCAAAACCATCCCAAAAATACCCCAAAAATATCCCTGAAATACCCCAAAAATACCCCAAAAAATATCCCTGAAATACCCCAAAACCATCCCAAAAATACCCCAAAAATACCCCGAAATCCCCCAAAATCCCCCACCTGCGGCTGACGCCCCGCCCCGTGTGTCTGGCCCCGCCCCCAGGTCCCAGGCCACGCCCCCCAGGTCGAGGCCGCGTGGCCGCGGCTGCGGCGCCACTTTAGCTCCGCCCACCGCGAGGGGGCGGGGCTGGGCACGGCGGCGGCGCGAGACCGCGGCATGTACGGAGGGGGCGGGGCCAGGGGAGAGGGGGCGGGGCTAAAGGGAAAGGGGGCGGGGCCAAGGGCAGGGGCGTGGCTAAAGGGAGAGGGGCGGTCCAATGGGGATGGGAGGATAATCAAACGGGGCGGGGCTAAGGAAAAGGGGGCGGAGCAATAAAGAGGGGCGGGGCAATGGGGAGGGGGCGGGGTCTAGGGGAGGGGCGGGGCAATATAAATGTGGGGGTAATAGGAGGGGTGGAGCTAAAAAAGGGGGCGGAGCAATGGGGATGGGCGGGGCTAAGGAAAATGGGGCTGGGCCAATGGAAGGGGCGGGGCTAAGGGATGGGAAGGGGTAATAGGAGGGGCGGGGCTAAGGAAAAAAGGGCGGAGCAATGGGAAGGGGAGGGGCTAAAGGGGAGGGGGCGGAGCCAAGGGGACGGTCAGTGATGATTTTTGGGGGTCCCTGACCCATTTTTGGGGGTTTTGGGGGGTCCCTGACCCATTTTTGGGGGTCCCTGACCCATTTTTGGGGTTTTTGGGGGGGGTCCCTGACCCATTTTTGGGGTTTTGGGGGTGTCCCTGACCCATTTCCGGGGGTCCATGACCCATTTTTGGGGTCCCGGACCCATTTTTGGGGGTCCCTGACCCATTTTTGTGTTCCCCTGACCCATTTTGGGGTCCCTGACCCGTTTTTGGTGTCCCTGACCCATTTTTGGGGGTCCCTGACCCATTTTTGGGGTCCCATCCCCATTTTTGGGGTCCCTGACCCATTTTTGGATTCCCCTGACCCATTTCTGGGGGTCCCTGACCCATATTTTGCAGTCCCTGACCCATTTTTGGGGTCCCTGACCCATTTTTGGGGGTCCCATCCCCATTTTTGGGGTCCCTGACCCATTTTCGGGGGTCCCTGACCCATTTTTGGGTGCCCCTGACCCATTTTGGGGGTCCCTGACCCGTTTTTGGTGTCCCTGACCCATTTTTGGGGTCCCTGACCCATTTTGGGGGTCCTTGACCCGTTTTTGGGGTCCCTGACCCATTTTCGGGGGTCCCTGACCCATTTCTGGGGTTTTTGGGGGTCCCATCCCCATTTTTGGGGCGCAGGGCGCTGTGCCGGCGGGACCCCCGCTGCGATGGGTACCTGAGCCTGGACAGCGACGTCACCCTGAGGGACCCCGGGGTGCTGCGGGCGCTGCTGGAGCAGAACCGGTACCGTGACCCCTGACCCCTGAGTGACCCCTGACCCCTGAGTGACCCCTGAGTGACACCTGAGTGACCCCTGACCCCTGAGTGACCCTGAGTGACCCTGAGGGACCCCGGGGTGCTGCGGGCGCTGCTGGAGCAGAACCGGTACCGTGACCCCTGACCCTTGAGTGACCCCTGACCCCTAACTGACCCCTGAGTGACCCCTGACTGACCCTGACTGACCCTGAGGGACCCCGGGGTGCTGCGGGCGCTGCTGGAGCAGAACCGGTACCCTGACCCCTGACCCCGAGTGACCCCTGACCCCTGAGTGACCCCTGAGTGACCCTGAGTGACCATTGACCCCTGAGTGACCCCAAAATAACCCAAACCTGACCCCTAAGTGACCCTGAGTGACCCTGAGTGACCGTGAGTGACCCCGAGTGGCCCTGAGTGACCCTGAGTGACCCTGAATGACCCTGAGTGACCAATGAGTGACCCTGAGTGACCCAAACCTGACCCCTGAGTGACCCTTGGCCCCTAGCTGATCCCAAAATAACCCAAACCTGACCCCAGAGTGACCCTGAGTGACCCCAACCATTGAGTGACCAGTGACCCCTGACCTCTTATTGACCCCTAACTGACCTCTAACTGACCCAAACCTGACCCCTGAGTGACCAATGAGTGACCCTGAGTGACCACTGACCCCTGAGTGACCCAAACCTGACCCTTGTGTGACTTTGGGTGACCCCTGGGTGACCCCTGACCACTAACTGACCCCACTGACCTAAACCTGACCCCTGAGTGACCCCTGTGTGACCCCTGAGTGACCCCTGAGTGACCCCTGTGTGACCCCTGTGTGACCCCTGTGTGACCCCTGACCCCTGTGTGACCCCTGACCCCGGTGTGACCCCTGACCCCGGTGTGACCCCAGGCAGGTTCTGGCCCCTTTCCTGACCCCTGTCTGACCCCTGACCCCTGTGTGACCCCTGAGTGACCCCTGACCCCTGTGTGACCCCTGAGTGACCCCAGGCAGGTTCTGGCCCCTCTCCTGACCCCTGTGTGACCCCTGAGTGACCCCTGAGTGACCCCTGACCCCGGTGACCCCAGGCAGGTTCTGGCCTCTCTCCTGACCCCTGAGTGACCCCTGAGTGACCCCTGAGTGACCCCTGACCCCTGTGTGACCCCAGGCAGGTTCTGGCCCCTCTCCTGACCCCTGTGTGACCCCTGTGTGACCCCTGAGTGACCCCTGACCCCTGTGTGACCCCTGAGTGACCCCTGACCCCTGTGTGACCCCTGACCCCGGCTGACCCCAGGCAGGTTCTGGCCCCCCTCCTGACCCGCTCCGGCCGTCTCTGGTCCAACTTCTGGGGCGCCCTCGGCCCCGACGGGTTCTACGCCCGGAGCCCCGACTACCTGGGCATCGTCAGCGGGGAGCGCAGGTACCGCACCTGGGCACTCACCTGGGCATGGCTGGGTACTCACCTGGGCACTCACCTGGGGGCACCTGGGCACTCACCTGGGCACAGCTGGGCACTCACCTGGGGGCACCTGGGGGTGGGGACACACCTGGGCACACCTGGGCACCCGACTACCTGGGCATCGTCCGCGGGGAGCGCAGGTATGGGGCACCTGGGGGCACCTGGGCACTCACCTGGGCATGGCTGGGATACACCTGGGGGCACCTGGGCACAGCTGGGCACTCACCTGGGGGCACCTGGCATACACCTGGGCACACCTGAGAGACCCCTGAGCATACCTGGGACACACCTGGGCATGGCTGGGCACACCTGAGATACACCTGGGCACAGCTGGGGGCACCTGGGCATACCTGGGATACACTTGGGATACACCTGGGCACACCTGGACACACCTGGGGGCACCTGGGCACGGCTGGGCACTCACCTGGGGGCACCTGGGATACACCTGGGCACTCACCTGGGGGTGGGGACACACCTGAGATACACCTGGGCACACCTGGGCACAGCTGGGGCACACCTGGGCACACCTGGGCACACCTGGGTGGGCACCTGGAGGGGTGGGGTGGGCGTGGCCCGCGGTGGGCGTGGCCTTACGTGTGTGGGCGTGGCCAGGGGCGTGTGGAACGTGCCCTACGTCAGCCACGCCTACCTGGTGGGCGGGGCCGCGCTGCGGGGGCCGCTGGGGGAGGGGCCCGTCTTCGACCACGCCCACCTGGACCCCGACATGGCGTTCTGCGCCCGCGCCCGCGAGAAGGTGAGAGACCCCAAAATAGGCACAAATCGCCCCAAAATCACCCCGAAATCACCCCAAAGTCACCCAAAACTCACCCCAAAATCACCCAAAAATCATCCCGAAATCACCCCAAAAACTCACCCCGAAATCACTCCAAAACTCACCTGGGGAGCCCCGAAATCGTTCAGAAAGTACCCCAAAATCACCCCAAAAACTCACCTTAAAATCACCCAAAAATCATCCCGAAATCACCCAAAATCTCACCCCAAAATCACCTAAAACTGACCCCAAAATCAACCCAAAATTGACCCCTAAATCACCCAAAAATTAACCCGGGGAGCCCCAAAATTGTCCCGAAATCATCCCAAAAACTGACCCCAAAATCATCCCGAAATCACCCCAAAATCACCCCAAAAACTGATCCCAAAATCACCCAAAACTGACCCCAAAATCACCCAAAAACTCACCCCAAAATCACCCAAAACCTCACCTGGGGAGCCCCGAAGTCGTCCCAAAATCAGCCCGAAATCACCCAAAAACTCACCCCGAAATCAGCCCAGAAAATCACCTGGGGAGTCCCAAAATAGTCCCGAAATCACCCCAAAAACTCACCCCAAAATCACCCCAAAATCACCCCAAAAACTCACCCCAAAATCACCCAAAAACTGACCCCAAAATCACCCCAAAAACTGACCCCAAAATCACCCAAAAACTGATCCCAAAATCACCCCAAAACTGACCCCAAAATCACCCAAAAACTCACCCCGAAGTCACCCAAAAACTGACCCCAAAATCACCCCAAAAACTCACCCCAAAATCACCCAAAACTCACGCGGGGAGCCCCGAAATCATCCCAAAAACTGATCCCAAAATCGTCCTGAAATCACCCCAAAAACTGACCCCAAAACTCACCTGGGGAGCCCCAAAATCACCCCAAAAACCCACGAAATAACCCCAAAAACTGACCCCAAAATCACCCAAAAACTCACCCCAAAATCTCATCTGGGGGACCCCGAAATTTACATAATCTTGGAATTGAATTTTGGGGAGGGATTTTGGGGAAATTTGGGTTGAATTTTGGGGTGAATTTTGGGGGATTTTTGGTTGAATTTTGGGGGGAATTTTGAGGATTTGGGTGGAATTTTGGGTTGAATTTTGGGGTGAATTTGTGGGATTTTGGGATGAATTTTGGAAGGAATTTTGGGATGAATTTTGGGGTGAATTTGGGGGATTTTCAGGGGATTTTGGGTTGAATTTTGAGGGATTTTTGGGTTGAATTTTGGGTGATTTTTGGGTTGAATTTTGGGGTGAATTTGGGAGTTTTTTGGGTTGAGTTTTGGGGTGAATTTGGGGGAATTTTGGGCTGAAATTTGGGGTGAATTTGGGGGATTTTCAGGGGATTTTGGGTTGTATTTTGGGGGATTTTTGGGGGATTTGGGGTTGAATTTTGGAGGATTTTCGGGGGATTTTGGGGCTGAATTTTGGGGTAAATTCGGGTTGAATTTTTGGGCTGAATTTGGGGATTCTGGGGTGAATTTTAGGGGATTTTGGGTTGAATTTTGGGGGGATTTTTGGGCTGAAATTTGGGGTGAATTGGGGGGATTTCGGAGGGATTTGGGTTAGAACTTTGGGGGATTTTGGGTTGAATTTTGGGCTTGAATTTGGGGGATTTTTGGGGGATTTTTGGGGCTGAATTTTGGGGGATTTTGGGGTCGAATTTTTGGCTGAATTTGTGGAATTTGTGGCTGAATTTTGGGGTGAATTTGGGCGTTTTTGGGCTCCCCAGGGGCTGTTCCTGCACGTCACCAACCGGCGGCACTTCGGGCACCTCCTGGTGACGGACGGATTCAACGGCACCGGGAGGCGGCACCCGGAGCTGTGGGAGAGAACCCGCAACCCCTGGGTGAGTGAAAACCAGTATAAACCAGTATAAACCAGTATAAACCAGTATAAACCAGTATAAACCAGTATAGACCAGTACAGACCAGTATAGACCAGTATATCCCAGTATAACCCAACGGCACCGGGAGGCGGCACCCGGAGCTCTGGGAGCGAAACCGCAACCCCTGGGTGAGTGAAAACCAGTATAAACCAGTATAGACCAGTATAAACCAGTACAGACCAGTACAGACCAGTACAGACCAGTATAGACCAGTACAGACCAGTATAAACCAGTATAGACCAGTACAGACCAGTATAGACCAGTATAACCCAGTATAACCAACGGCACCGGGAGGCGGCACCCGGAGCTCTGGGAGAGAACCCGCAACCCCTGGGTGAGTGAAAACCAGTATAAACCAGTATAAACCAGTATAAACCAGTATAAACCAGTACAGACCAGTATAGACCAGTATAGATCAGTATAGACCAGTATAGACCAGTATAACCCAACGGCACCGGGAGGCGGCACCCGGAGCTCTGGGAGCGAACCCAGAACCCCTGGGTGAGTGAAAACCAGTATAAACCAGTATAAACCAGTATAGACCAGTATAGACCAGTATAGACCAGTATAGACCAGTATAACCCAGTATAGACCAGTATAGACCAGTATAACCCAGTATAACCCAGTATAGACCAGTATAGACCAGTACAGACCAGTATAAACCAGTATAGACTAATATAGACCAGTATAGACCAGTATAACCCAGTGAAAACCAGTATAACCCAATATAGACCAGTATAAACCAGTATAATCCAGTATAAACCAATATAAATTAGTAAAAAGCAGTACAGACCAGTATAGACCAGTACAAACCAGTATAGACCAGTAAAACCAGTATAGACCAGTATAGACCAGTATAACCCAGTGAAAACCAGTATAAACCAGTATAGACCAGTATAACCCAGTATAGACCAGTAAAAACCAGTATAACCCAGTATAAACCAATATAACCCAGTATAAACCAATATAAATTAGTAAAAACCAGTACAGACCAGTATAGACCAGTATAAACCAGTATAGACCAATATAAACCAGTATAGACCAGTATAGACCAGTATAGACCAGTATAGACCAGTATAACCCAGTATAGACCAGTATAAACCAGTATAAACCAGTATAGACCAGTATAACCCAGTATAGACCAGTATAAACCAGTATAAACCAGTATAGACCAGTATAACCCAGTATAAACCAGTATAAACCAGTATAAACCAGTATAGACCAGTATAGACCAGTATAGACCAGTATAAACCAGTATAACACAGTATAAACCAGTATTAACTAGTAAAAACCAGTACAGACCAGTATGAACCAGTATAAACCAGTACAAACCAAATCAGTATAAACAGTATAGACCAGTATAGATCAGTAAAAACCAGTATAGACCAGTAAAAACCAGTATAGATCAGTATAACCCAGTATAAACCCGTATGGACCAGTAAAACCAGTATAAACCAGTATAACTCCATACAGACCAGTATAGACCAGTATAAACCAGTAAGAAAACGCCGGGGCACCCCCGTTAGCTCCCAGTAACCGCTCCCAGTGCTCCCAGTAACCGCTCCCAGTTTGCCCCAGTCCATCCCAGTCCCTCCCAGTTTGTCCCAGTCCCTCCCAGTTCCCTCCCAGTCCCTCCCAGTATTCCCAGTAACCCCTCCCAGTGCTCCCAGTCCCTCCCAGTTTGCCCCAGTCCATCCCAGTCCATCCCAGTATCCCCTCCCAGTGCTCCCAGTATTCCCAGTAACTCCTCCCAGTCCATCCCAGTCCCTCCCAGTTCCCTCCCAGTTCCCTCCCAGTTCCCTCCCAGTCCCCTCCCAGTCCATCCCAGTATCCCCAGTAGCCCCTCCCAGTGCTCCCAGTATTCCCAGTAACTCCTCCCAGTCCTTCCCAGTCCCTCCCAGTCCCCCCCAGTCCCTCCCAGTATAAACCAGTAACCCCAAATCTCCTTTTTAACCCCTCCCAGTCCCTCCCAATTTGGTCCCAGTTTGGTCCCAGTTCCCTCCCAGTCCCTCCCAGTATCCCCAGTAACCCCTCCCAGTCCCTCCCAGTCCCCCCCCAGTCCATCCCAGTCCATCCCAGTCCCTCCCAGTCCCTCCCAGTCCCCCCCCAGTCCATCCCAGTCCATCCCAGTCCCTCCCAGTCCCTCCCAGTCCCCCCCCAGTCCATCCCAGTCCATCCCAGTCCTTCCCAGTCCCTCCCAGTATCCCCAGTGTCCCCTCCCAGTTTGTCCCAGTCCATCCCAGTATCCCCAGTATCCCCTCCCAGTGCTCCCAGTAACCGCTCCCAGTGCTCCCAGTGCTCCCAGTAACCCCTCCCAGTCCCCCCCAGTCCATCCCAGTCCCTCCCAGTAGCCCCAGTAGCCCCTCCCAGTCCCTCCCAGTGCTCCCAGTCCATCCCAGTATCCCCAGTATCCCCTCCCAGTCCCTCCCAGTCCCTCCCAGTTTGCCCCAGTCCATCCCAGTTTGCCGTTGCAGGACTGGGATCAGCTCTATCTGCACCGGAACCTGAGCCGAGTCCTGGAGGGGGACCTGATCCAGGAGGTACCGACCCCAAAACAGCCCAAAATCACCCCAAAAATATCCCCCAAATCATCCCAAAATCAGCCCAAAATATCACCCCAAAATAGCCCAAAATTTATCCCAAAATAGCCCCAAAATAGCCCAACATAGCCCCAAAATCAGCCCCAAATCACCCCAAAATTTATCCCAAAATAGCCCCAAAATAGCCCAAAATGTATCCCAAAATTGTCCCAAAATATCCCCAAAATCACCCCAAAATCCACCCCAAAATATCCCCAAAATCACCCCAAAATCCACCCAAAATTTATCCCAAAATTATCCCAAAATTACCCCAAAATCACCCCAAAACAGCCCAAAATCACCCCAAAATTTATCCCAAAATCACCCCAAAATAGCCCAAAATCACCCCAAAATAGCCCCAAAATCACCCCAAAAATATCCCCAAAATCACCCCAAAATAGCCCAAAATATACCAAAATCCACCCAAAATTTATCCCAAAATCACCCCAAAATCCACCCAAAATCACCCGAAAATTATCCCAAAAATTATCCCCAAATATCCCAAAACCTCCCAAAATATCCCCAAAAATATCCCAAAAATCAACCCAAAATATCCCTGAAATATCCCAAAATCACCCCAAAAACACCCCAAATTTTGGGATATTTTTGGGATTTTTGGGTTTCTTTGGGGTTTTGGGGTTTTTTTTGGGGGGGGCGATTTTTTGGGGGATTTTTTCGGGGTTTTTTGGGGGATTTTTTTTGGGTTTTTTTTATTTTGGATTTTTGGGTTTTTTGAAATTTCTGGGGGGATTTTTGGGGGATTTTTTGGGTTTTTTTTAATTTGGATTTTTGGGGGTTTTGGGGTGATTTGGGGGTGATTTTTTGGGTATTTTTGAGGTTTTTGGGGGGATTTTTTCGGGATTTTTTGGGGGGATTTTTTTGGGTTTTTTTGTTTTGGATTTCTGGGATTTTTGGGGTGATTTTGGGGTGATTTTGGGGTGAATTTCCCGTTTCCAGCCCTGCCCAGACGTGTTCCAGTTCCCTTTGGATTTGTGGGGTTTTTTGGGTATTTTTGGGGTATTTTTGGGTATTTTTGGGGGGTTTTTTTCAGGGTTCTTTTGGGGGGATTTTTTTGGGGTTTTTTTGTTTTGGATTTTTGGGGTTTTTTTGAAATTTTTTGGGGATTTTTTTTTGGTTTTTTATGTTTTGGATTTTTGGGTTTTTTGGGGATTTTTGGGGTATTTTTGGGTTTTTGGGTGGATTTTTCCGGGATTTTTTGGGGGATTTTTTTGGGGTTTTTTTTGTTTTTATTTTTGGGATTTTTGGGGTGATTTTGGGGTGATTTTGGGGTGCATTTCCCGTTTCCAGCCCTGCCCAGACGTGTTCCAGTTCCCGTTGGGTTTTGGGGTTTTTTTGGGTATTTTTGGCGTTTTTGGGGGGATTTTTCCGGGATTTTTCCGGGATTTTTTGGGGGATTTTTTTGGGGTTTTTTTTGTTTGAACTTTTGGTGTTTTTAGGATGATTTTGGGGTGATTTTGGGGTGCATTTCCCGTTTCCAGCCCTGCCCAGACGTGTTCCAGTTCCCGTTGGGTTTTTGGGGTTTTTTGGGTATTTTTGGGGTTTTTGGGGGGATTTTTTCGGGGTTTTTTGGGGGATTTTTTTGGGGTTTTTTTTTGTTTGGATTTTTGGGGTTTTTTTGAAATTTTTGGGGGATTTTTTTGGGTTTTTTTTGTTTTGGAATTTTGGGGTTTTTGGGATGATTTTGGGGTGATTTTTGGGGTATTTTTGAGGTTTTTGGGGGGATTTTTTCGGGGTTTTTTGGGGGATTTTTTTGGGTTTTTTTTTGTTTTAGATTTTTGGGGTTTTTGGGATGATTTTGGGGTATTTTGGGGGTTTTTAGGGGGATTTTTTCAGGATTTTTTCGGGATTTTTTGGGGATTTTTTGGGGTTTTTTTCTTTTGGATTTTTGGGGTTTTTGGGGTGATTTTTGGGGTATTTTTGGGGTATTTTTGGGGGGATTTTTTCGGGATTTTTTTGGGGATTTTTTGGGGGGGTTTTTTGTTTTGTATTTTTGGGGTTTTTGGGGTGATTTTGGGGTGATTTTGGGATGATTTTGGGTTGATTTTTGGGGTATTTTTGGGGTTTTGGGGGGGATTTTTTCGGGATTTTTTGGGGGATTTTTTGGGGTTGTTTTTGATTTGGATTTTTGGGGTTTTTGGGATGCTTTTGGGGTGATTTTTGGGGTATTTTTGGGGTTTTTGGGGAGATTTTTTGGGGTATTTTTGGGGTTTTTGGGGGGATTTTTTTGGGTTTTTTTTGTTTGGATTTTTGGGGTTTTTGGGGTGATTTTGGGGTGATTTTGGGGTGCATTTCCCGTTTCCAGCCCTGCCCAGACGTGTTCCAGTTCCCTTTGGGTTTTTGGGTTTTTTTGGGATTTTTGGGTATTTTTGGGTGGATTTTTTCGGGGTTTTTTGGGGGATTTTTTTGGGGGTTTTTTTGTTTTGGATTTTTTGGGTTTTTGGGGTGTTTTTGGGGGGATTTTTTCAGGATTTTTGGGGTATTTTTGAGGTTTTTGGGGGGATTTTTTCGGGATTTTTTCGGGATTTTTTTGGGGATTTTTTTGGGGTTTTTTTTTGTTTTGGATTTTGGGTTTTTTTGGGTGATTTTGGGGTGATTTTGGGGTGCATTTCCCATTCCAGCCCTGCCCAGACGTGTTCCAGTTCCCGCTGTTCTCGGCGCGTTTCGGGCGGGACCTGCGGGAGGAGGCGGAGCTTCACGGGGGGTGGGCGGAGCATCACCAGGTGGGCGTGGCCTCCAAAATTTGGGGGGAGGGGGGCGGGGACCCCCAAAAAATGGGATTTGGGACCCCAAAAATGGGGGTGGGACTCCAAAAATTGGAATTTGGGACTCCAAAAATTGGGGTTTGCGACCCCAAAATCGGGGGGTGGGACCCCAAAATTGTTATTTTGTGCCCCAAAAATGGGATTTGGGACCCCAAAATCTTGATTTTGTGCCCCAAGAATGGGGTTTGAGACCCCAAAATTGGGGGGAGAGACCCCAAAATTGGGATTTGGGACCCCAAAATTTGGGGGGGATCCAAAAAAGGGGGGTGGGACCCCAAATATGGGGGAGGGGACCCCAAAAATTGGGATTTGGGACTCCAAAAATTTGGATTTGCGAGCCCAAAAATTGGGATTTGGGGTATCAAAAATGGGATTGGGAGACCAAAATTTGGGGGGGGACCCCAAAAATTGAATTTGGGACACCAAAATTGGGGGTTGGGACCCCAAAATTTTTATTTTGTACCCCAAAAATGGTCACTCTGGGGTCACTCCCGGGTCACTCGGGGTCACTCTGGAGTCACTGGGGGTCACGCGGGGTCACTCCGGGGTCACTGGGGTCACTCAGGGTCAATCGGGGTCACTCCTCGGTCACTTGGGGTCACTCCGGGGTCACTCCGGGGTCACTGGGTTCACTCCGGGGATCACTGGGGTCACTTCGGGGTCAATTCGGGGTCACTCCGAGGTCACTTAGGGTCACTCCGGGGTCACTCTATGGTCACTCTGGGGTCACTGGGGGTTACTCGGGGTCACTCCGGGGTCACTTGGGGTCACTCCAGGGTCACTACGGGGTCACTCAGGGTCACTGGGGGTCACTTTGGGGTCATTCTCGGGGTCACTCTGGTCACTCTGGGGCCACTCTGGGGTCACTGGGGATCACTGGGGTCACTCAGGGGTCACTGGGGGTCACTCATTGGTCACTCTGGGGTCCCCCCCCAGCCGCACTCTGGGGTCACTGGGGTCACTCAGGGGTCACTGAGGTCACTCAGGGGTCACTCATTGGTCACTCATTGGTCACTCAGGGTCACTCGGTGTCACTGCCGCTGTCATCGCTGTCCCTGTCCCCCGTCCTGCAGGGGTCACTGGGGTCACTGGGGTCACTCAGGGTCACTCAGGGTCACTCACTGGTCACTCAGGGTCACTCACTGGTCACTCAGGGTCACTCGTTGGTCACTCAGGGTCACTCGGTGTCGCTGTCAGCGCTGTCCCTGTCCCCCGTCCTGCAGGGGTCACTCATTGGTCACTCAGGGGTCACTCAGGGTCACTCAGGGTCACTCACTGGTCACTCAGGGTCACTCGGTGTCGCTGTCAGCGCTGTCCCTGTCCCCCGTCCTGCAGGGGTCACTGGGGTCACTGGGGTCACTCAGGGGTCACTGAGGTCACTCAGGGTCACTCAGGGTCACTGGGGTCACTCATTGGTCACTCAGGGTCACTCGGTGCCGCTGTTGGCGCTGTCCCTGTCCCCCGTCCTGCAGGGGTCACTCATTGGTCACTCAGGGTCACTCATTGGTCACTCAGGGGTCACTGGGGTCACTGGGGTCACTCATTGGTCACTCATTGGTCACTCATTGGTCACTCAGGGTCACTCAGGGGTCACTGGGGTCACTGGGGTCACTCAGGGGTCACTCATTGGTCACTCAGGGTCACTCGGTGCCGCTGTCAGCGCTGTCCCTGTCCCCCGTCCTGCAGGGGTCACTGGGGTCACTGGGGTCACTCATTGGTCACTCAGGGTCACTCAGGGTCACTCAGGGTCACTCAGGGTCACTCATTGGTCACTCAGGGTCACTCGGTGTCGTCATCGCTGTCGCTGTCCCCCGTCCTGCAGGGGTCACTGGGGTCACTGGGGTCACTCAGGGGTCACTCAGGGTCACTCATTGGTCACTCAGGGTCACTCAGGGTCACTCATTGGTCACTCAGGGTCACTCGGTGTCGCTGCCATTGTCAGCGCTGTCCCTCTCCCCCGTCCTGCAGGGGTCACTGGGGTCACTGGGGTCACTCAGGGTCACTCATTGGTCACTCATTGGTCACTCGTTGGTCACTCAGGGTCACTCGGTGTCGCTGTCGGCGCTGTCGCTCTCCCCCGTCCTGCAGGGGTCACTGGGGTCACTGGGGTCACTCAGGGGTCACTGGGGTCACTGGGGTCACTCAGGGTCACTCATTGGTCACTCAGGGTCACTCAGGGTCACTCATTGGTCATTCATTGGTCACTCAGGGTCACTCGGTGTCGCTGTCGGCGCTGTCCCTGTCCCCCGTCCTGCAGGGGTCACTGGGGTCACTGGGGTCACTCAGGGTCACTCATTGGTCACTCAGGGTCACTCAGGGTCACTCATTGGTCACTCATTGGTCACTCAGGGTCACTCGGTGTCGCTGTCGGCGCTGTCCCTGTCCCCCGTCCTGCAGGGGTCACTGGGGTCACTCAGGGGTCACTGGGGTCACTCAGGGTCACTCAGGGTCACTCAGGGGTCATTCATTGGTCACTCACTGGTCACTCAGGGTCACTCAGGGTCACTGGGGTCACTGGGGTCACTCATTGGTCACTCAGGGTCACTCAGGGGTCACTGGGGTCACTCATTGGTCACTCATTGGTCACTCATTGGTCACTCATTGGTCACTCATTGGTCACTCAGGGTCACTCATTGGTCACTCACTGGTCACTCAGGGGTCACTCATTGGTCACTCAGGGTCACTCATTGGTCACTCATTGGTCACTCAGGGTCACTCGGTGTCACTGCCATTGTCATCGCTGTCCCTGTCCCCCGTCCTGCAGGGGTCACTCAGGGTCACTCAGGGGTCACTCATTGGTCACTCATTGGTCACTCAGGGTCACTCAGGGTCACTCATTGGTCACTCAGGGTCACTCAGGGGTCACTCATTGGTCACTCACTGGTCACTCAGGGTCACTCATTGGTCACTCATTGGTCACTCAGGGTCACTCAGGGTCACTCATTGGTCACTCATTGGTCACTCATTGGTCACTCATTGGTCACTCACTGGTCACTCATTGGTCACTCAGGGTCACTCATTGGTCACTCAGGGTCACTCAGGGTCACTCATTGGTCACTCATTGGTCACTCAGGGTCACTCGGTGTCGCTGTCGGCGCTGTCCCTGTCCCCCGTCCTGCAGGGGTCACTCAGGGTCACTCATTGGTCACTCATTGGTCACTCAGGGTCACTCAGGGTCACTCATTGGTCACTCAGGGTCACTCGGTGTCGCTGTCAGCGCTGTCCCTGTCCCCCGTCCTGCAGGGGTCACTGGGGTCACTCAGGGTCACTCAGGGTCACTCATTGGTCACTCATTGGTCACTCAGGGTCACTGGGGTCACTGGGGTCACTGGGGTCACTCAGGGTCACTCATTGGTCACTCAGGGTCACTCGGTGCCGCTGTCATCGCTGTCCCTGTCCCCCGTCCTGCAGGGGTCACTCATTGGTCACTCATTGGTCACTCAGGGTCACTCATTGGTCACTCAGGGTCACTCACTGGTCACTCATTGGTCACTCAGGGTCACTCGGTGTCGCTGTCGGCGCTGTCGCTCTCCCCCGTCCTGCAGGGGTCACTGGGGTCACTCATTGGTCACTCATTGGTCACTCAGGGTCACTCGGTGTCACTGTCCCTGTCATCGCTGTCCCTGTCCCCCGTCCTGCAGGGGTCACTGGGGTCACTGGGGTCACTCATTGGTCACTCAGGGTCACTCATTGGTCACTCATTGGTCACTCAGGGTCACTCGGTGCCGCTGTCATCGCTGTCCCTCTCCCCCGTCCTGCAGGGGGCGCTGCGGGAGCTGCTGCCCCCCCTGGCCCGGCGCCTCTTCCCGGGATACGCCCCCAAGGTGGGGAAGGGGCGGGGCATAAATAGGGGGCGGGGCTTGGGAAAAGGGGCGGGGATTGGGATAAAGAGGTGTGGCCTAGGGAAAAAAGGCGGGGCCTGGGGAAGGGGTGGAGCTTGGGGGAAGGGCGTGGCTTTGATTAAATGGGCGGGGCCTGGAGAAAGGGGCGGGGGCTGGGGAAAAGGGGCTGGGTTTAAAGGGGTGGGGCCTAAGGAAGGGGGCGGGAACTTTGAAAAGCGGGTGGGGCTTGGAATCAAGGGGCGGGGCCTGGGAAAAGGGGCGGGGCTTAGGGAAAAGGCGTGGCTTTAATTCAAGGGGTGGGGCTTGGGGAAAGGGGGTGGGGTCTATCGAAAGGGCGGGGCTTTGATTTAATGGGAGGGGCCTGGAGATGGGGGCGTGGCCCAGAGAAAGGGGTGGAGCATGGAAAATGGGGAGTGGCATAAAGAACAGGGCGGGGCCTGGGGAAGGGGGAGGGGACTTTGAAAACTGGGCGGGGGTTAGATAAAAGGGGTGGGGCCTGGGGAAAGGGGTGGAGACTGTGAAAACTGGGCGTGGCTTGGAATAAATGGGCGGGGCCTGGAAAAGGGGGCGTGGCATGGGGAAAGGGCGGGGCCTAGGGAAATGGGTGGGGCTCCGAAATGGGCGGGGTTTAGAGGAAGGGGTGGGGCCTGGGATTGGGGGCGTGGCTTGGAGAAAGAGGTGGGGCCTGGGGAAAAGGGGTGTGGCCTGGGAAAATGGGAGTGGCTTGAGAATGGGGCGTGGTCTGGGGAAATGGGCGGGGCTTTGGAGAGGGCGGGGCTTGGGAAATGGGCGTGGCTCAGAAAGGGGCGTGGCTTAGAGGAAGGGGTGGAGCTTGGGGAAAGGGGCGTGGCTGGGACAGTAAAAGGGGCGGGTACTCAGAAATGGGCGGGGCCTGGGGAAAGGGGCGGGGCTTGAGGATGGGCGGAGCCTGGGGAGGGGCGGGGCCTAAAGGGGTGGGGCCTAATGGGTGGGGAAAGTGGGTGGGGCTTGTGGGTACAGAAATGGGCGTGGTCTTAAGGAGGGCGTGGCTAAGTGGGTGTGGTTTGGCGGGAAAGGTGTGGGGTGGGCGTGGTCTTTAATGATAATGCATCAGTGGGCGTGGCCTAAGGGGGTGTGGTGCCCGTGACATCACAGGGGTGTGGTCAGTGTGGGCGTGGTTTGGGGTGGGCGTGTCCCTCCCGGCCACGCCCACCGCCCCTCTGGCCCCGCCCCCAGGGTCGGACCGTGCTGAGCGCTGTGGTTCGCTACGACCCCGCCCCTTCCGGCCACGCCCCTTCCGGCCACGCCCCTTCCGGCCACGCCCCCTCGGCCCCGCCCCGACCCTCGGCCACGATCAGCCTGAGCGTCACCCTGAGCCCCGCCCACGTACGGACTGGGGATACTGGGAGGGACTGGTTATACTGGGAGGGACTGGGAGGGGATTGGGATATACTGGGATATACTGGGAAGGGATTGGAGGTTACTGGTTTATACTGGGAGGGACTGGGAGGGACTGGGAGGGACTGGAAAAGAACTGGTTTATACTGGGAGGGACTGGGAGGGGATTGGGAGGGGATTGGGGGTTACTGGTTTATACTGGGATGGACTGGGAAGGAACTGGTTTATACTGGGAGGGACTGGGAAGGCATTGGAGGTTACTGGTTTATACTGGGAGGGAACTGGGAGGGACTGGGAGGGGACTGGGGGTTACTGGTTTATACTGGGAGGGACTGGGAGGGAACTGGTTCATACTGGGAGGGACTGGGATGGGTCACTGGTGGTTACTGGATTGAACTGGGAGTCACTGGTTTGAACTGGGGGTTACTGGGATGGGTCCCTGGGATGGGTTACTGGTTTTTTAGTGGTTTATAGTGGTTTATACTGGTTTGTACTGGTTTATACTGGTCTGTACTGGTCTGTACTGGTTCTAGGGTGGCAGCTGGCTGTTCCCCCGCTGGGCCCCACTGTGCTGGGGGTTACTGGGATGAACTGGGATGGGTTACTGGGAAGAACTGGGGGTGATTAGGGATGAGTTATGGGTCCGTACTGGTTTATACTGGTTCATACTGGTCCATACTGGTTTATACTGGTTCATACTGGTCCATACTGGTTTATACTGGTTTATACTGGTTCCAGGGCTCGGCCTGGCTGTTCCCCCGGCACGGCTGCACTGGGATGAACTGGTTTATAGTGGTTTATAGTGGTTTATAGTGGCCCATACTGGTTAATAGTGGTTTATACTGGTCAGTACTGGTCTGTACTGGTCCATACTGGTTTATACTGGTCCATACTGGTTCCAGGGCGCCGCCTGGCTGTTCCCCCGGCACGGCTGCACTGGGATGAACTGGGATGAACTGGGATGGGTTACTGGTTTATAGTGGTTATAGTGGTCTGTACTGGTCTATAGTGGTCTATACTGGTCCATACTGGTCCATACTGGTTTGTACTGGTCCATACTGGTTTTTACTGGTTTATACTGGTTCCAGGGCTCTGCCTGGCTGTTCCCCCGGCACGGCTGCACTGGGATGAACTGGGATGAACTGGGATGGGTTACTGGTTTATAGTGGTTTATAGTGGCCCATACTGGTTTATACTGGTCCATACTGGTTTTTACTGGTTTATACTGGTTCCAGGGCGCGGCCTGGCTGTTCCCCCGGCACGGCTGCACTGGGGGTTACTGGTTTATAGTGGTTTATAGTGGTTTATAGTGGTTTATACTGGTCCATACTGGTCCATACTGGTTTATAGTGGTTTATACTGGTCTATACTGGTTTATACTGGTTTATACTGGTTCCAGGGCTCGGCCTGGCTGTTCCCCCGGCACGGCTGCACTGGGATGAACTGGGATGGGTTACTGGTTTATAGTGGTTATAGTGGTCTGTACTGGTTTATAGTGGTTTATAGCGGTCCATACTGGTTCGTACTGGTTTATACTGGTTTTTACTGGTTTATACTGGTTCCAGGGCGCGGCCTGGCTGTTCCCCCGGCACGGCTGCACTGGGATGAACTGGTTTATAGTGGTTTATAGTGGTTTATACTGGCCCATACTGGTTTATAGTGGTTTATACTGGTATATACTGGTTTGTACTGGTTTTTACTGGTTTATACTGGTTTATACTGGTTCCAGGGCGCCGCCTGGCTGTTCCCCCGGCACGGCTGCACTGGGATGAACTGGGATGGGTTACTGGTTTATAGTGGTTATAGTGGTTTATAGTGGTTTATAGTGGTTTATACTGGTATATACTGGTCCATACTGGTCCGTACTGGTTCATACTGGTTTATACTGGTTTTAGGGCTCGGCCTGGCTGTTCCCCTGGCACGGCTGCACTGGGGGTTACTGGGATGAACTGGGATGAACTGGGATTGGTCCCAGGAAGAACTGGGGGTTATTACGGATTGGTTACTAGTCTGTCCTGGTTTATACTGGTCCATACTGGTTTATACTGGTTTATACTGGTTTATACTGGTTCCAGGGCGCCGCCTGGCTGTTCCCCCGGCACGGCTGCACTGGGATGGGTTACTGGGATGGGTCCCTGGGATGGGTTACTGGTTTATAGTGGTTATAGTGGTCCGTACTGGTTTATAGTGGTCCATACTGGCCCATACTGGTTTATACTGGTTTGTAGTGGTTTATACTGGTATATACTGGTTTGTACTGGTTTATACTGGTTTATACTGGTTCCAGGGCTCGGCCTGGCTGTTCCCCCGGCACGGCTGCACTGGGATGAACTGGGATGGGTTACTGGTTTATAGTGGTTTATAGTGGCCTATACTGGTCCATACTGGTTTATACTGGTCCATACTGGTTTATACTGGTTTGTACTGGTTTATACTGGTTTATACTGGTTTATACTGGTTTCAGGGCGCCGCCTGGCTGTTCCCCCGGCACGGCTGCACTGGGATGAACTGGGATGGGTTACTGGTTTATAGTGGTTTATAGTGGCCTATACTGGTCCATACTGGTTTATACTGGTCCATACTGGTTTATACTGGTTTGTACTGGTTTATACTGGTTTATACTGGTTTATACTGGTTTCAGGGTGCCGCCTGGCTGTTCCCCCGGCACGGCTGCCGCGCGCCGCTGCCGCCCCCGGGCTGGGCGCTGCTGCACCCCGGGCGCCTGACGCACCTTCCCCGGAGAGAGACCCCGAGACACCGAGCCCAGTACGGCCTGGAGCTGCTGCTGGACCCCTGAGCGCAAACTGGGCAAACTGGGACAGACTGGGACCCACACAGAGAGCCCAGTACGGACTGGAGCTGCTGCTGGACCCCTGAGCGCAAACTGGGATGGACTGGGAGGGACTGGGAGGGACTGGGACTCAAACTGGGAGCACTGGGATGGACTGGGAGGGAACTGGGATGGACTGGGAGAAACTGGGAGGGGACTGGGACGGACTGGGAGGGGCTGGGAGGGGATTGGGGGGGACTGGGAGGGACTGGGACAAACTGGGACTCAAACTGGGAACACTGGGATGGACTGGGACGGACTGGGGGGGACTGGGATACAAACTGGGCCAACTGGGACGGACTAGGATGGACTGGGAGGGACTGGGAGGGACTGGGAGGGATTGGGACTCAAACTGGGAACACTGGGATGGACTGGGAGACAAACTGGGATGGACTGGGATGAACTGGGAGGGACTGGGACTGAAACTGGGAACACTGGGAGGGACTGGGAGGACTGGGACAGACTGGGAGGGACTGGGACACAAACTGGGATGGACTGGGAGACAAACTGGGAACACTGGGATGGACTGGGAGGGGCTGGGACTCAAACTGGGATGGACTGGGACACAAATTGGGCAAACTGGGATGGACTGGGATGGACCAGGACACAAACTGGGCAAACTGGGATGGACTGGGATGGACCAGGACACAAACTGGGCAAACTGGGAGGGACTGGGAACACTGGGATGGACTGGGACGGACTGGGAGGGAACTGGGATGGACTGGGACATAAAGTGGGCAAACTGGGACAGACTGGGACTCAAACTGGGAACACTGGGACAGACTGGGAGACAAACTGGGATGGACTGGGAGGGACTGGGACACAAACTGGGATAAACTGGGGACACTGGGATGGACTGGGACAAACTGGGGACACAAACTGGGGACACTGGGGCAAACTGGGACGGACTGGGACAAACTGGGACATCCTCGAGGACATCAGAGACCAACCCTGGCCCAGCCGACGGACCCCGAGTGCCCCAAATTTGGGACATTTTGGGGACATTTGGGGACACCAGTGACATCATCGGTGACATCATCAGTGACGTCATCAGTGACACCGAGGGACATTTGGGGACGTTTTTGGGACATTTTGGGACATTTTTGGGACATCGGAACCTGCCTTGAACTCCACTGTGGCCTTGGGGACATTTTGGGGTCATTTTGGGACATTTTGGGGACCTGAATGTCCCCGGAATGGGGGGGGGACCCCAAAATGGGATTTGGGGACCCCCCAAAAATTGGGGACCCCAAAATGGATTTGGGGATCCCAAAATGGATTTTGGGACCCCCCCCCCAAAAATTGGGGACCCCAAAATTGGATTTGAGGACCCCAAAATGGGGTTTGGGGACCCCCCCCGGACACTCCTCATCCTCAAGAGCCCCAAATTTGGGGAATTTTGGGATTTTGGGGACCCCAAATTGGGACATTTGGGGGTGACCCCGATGACGTCACGGGGGGGGGTCCCTGGGATGGGGGAGGGGCGGTCGGGGATTTCCCCCCACCCCCCCCCCAAAATTTCGGGAATAAAATTTGGGGGGGTTCATCCCCCCCCCCGGCCGTGATGACGTCATTGTGTGGGTGTGTGATGTCACTCTGAGAAAGCCCCGCCCCTCATCGGGGGGGGGAGGGGGATGGGATGCGGCGTTCTGATTGGTGGGGGCGGCGCGAGCCCCTCCCCCCACCCCAGAGCCCCTCCCCCAAATTCTGGCCACGCCCCCACCTCCAAGGCCCCTCCCCCACCCCCACAGCCCCTCCCCCATATTCTGGCCCCTCCCCCACTCCCAGAGCCCCTCCCCCAAATTTTAGACCCCCTCCCCCAAATTCCGGCCCTTCCCCCACTTTGCAGCCCCTCCCCCAAATTCTGGCCCATCCCCCAGTCTCAGAGCCCCTCCCCCAATTCTGGCCCCTCCCCCACCCCCAGAGCCCCTCCCCCAAATTCCGGCCCCTCCCCCACCCCCAGAGCCCCTCCCCAAATTCTGGCCACGCCCTCAAATCCCAAAGCCCCTCCCCCAAGTTATGGCCCCTCCCCCACCCTCAGAGCCCCTCCCCCAAATTCTGGCCACGCCCCCATCCCAGAACCCCTCCCCCACCCTCAGAGCCCCTCCCCCAAATTCTAGGGCCCCTCCCCCACCTTTAAAGCCCCTCCCCCAAATTTCGGCCACGCCCCTAATCCCAGAACCCCTCCCCCACCCCCCTCGCCCCTCCCCCACTCCGCAGCCCCTCCCCCTCACGGACACAACTTTATTGTTCACGTTTCACACGGGGGGGGGTGGGGGAGGGGAGGGGGGGGAGGGGTTTGGGGACCCCCCCGGGGCCCCCCCAAAACCCCGAGGGGGGGGAGGGGAGGGGTGGGGGGAGGGGCGGCAGTGACACCCGCCCCTCCCCCACAAAAGCAGCGCGCCCCTCCCCCACCCCCCCCGAACCCCAAAATCCCCCCCCCGGGGGGGGGATTTTGGGGTTCGGGGGGGGTGGGGGAGGGGCAGGGGGGAGGGGTCCCCCCAAATTTTCACCGAGAGTGGGGGGAGGGGATTTTTGGGGGTCCCCCCCACGAATTTTGGGGGGTCCGGGGGGGCTCCATGCAGTGGGGGGAGGGGCGGGGAGGGGGAGGGTCTGAACCCCAAAATCTTCCGGGAAAAGTTCGGGGGGGGTCACCCCCTCCCCCACCCCCAAATTTGGGGCGACTCTTCCACCTTTTGGGGACCCCTCCCCAATTTTGGGGACCCCCCCTGGTTCCCTCCTCCCAGGGGTGTGTCCCCTCCCCCACCCCCAAATTTTTGGGGTTCCCTCCAATTTTGGGGTCCCCTCCCTGTAAATTTTGGGGTTCCCCCCCCCCCCGAATTTTTTTGGGGGGGGATCCCCCAATTCTGGCCACGCCCCCTCACCCCAAATTTTGGGGGTTCCCTCCCCCATCGTCATTGGGGTCCCCCCAATTTTTGGCCTCACCCAAATTTTGGGGTCCCCCCTTTAAAATTTTGGGGTTCGCCCAATCAGATCCCCCCAAATTTTTGGGGTCAACCCCAACTTCTGGACCCCCCCCCCCAAATTTTGGGGTTCCCCCCAATTTTCAGACACACCCCCCCCAAAATTTTGGGGTCCCCATTTTTTGGGGGTCCTCCCCAAATTTTTGGGTCTCCCCGACTTTGCGATCCCCCCAAATTTTTGGGGTCCTCCCCAAATTTTGGGCTCTCCCCAAATTTTGGGACCCCCTCCCCCAATTTCACATTTTTTGGGGTCCCCCCCCCATTTTTGGGGTCCCCCCCCGGCTCGGCAGTGAAGGGGGGGTTGGGGGTGGGGGGGGAGGGGAAATTTTGGGGTGCGGGGGGTGGGGGAGGGGCTGGAATGGTTTTTTTTGGGGGGGGTGGGGGAGGGGACACCCCAAAAATCGCCCCTAAAATTTGGGGGGGCCCCTTTGTGCTCACGTGGGGGGGGGAGGGGACCCCAAAATCCCATCGGGGTGGGGGAGGGGGACCCCAAATTCCCTCCTGGGGGGGGGAGGGGACCCCCCCCCATTTTTGGGGTGCCCCCCCTGGATTTTGGGGATTTTGGGGATTTTTGGGGTTTTGGGGGCGGGGTTTGGGGTGGGGGCGGGGCCTGAGGGGATTTTGGGGGGAAATCCCAAATTTAGGGGTGGGGGAGGGGCTGGGGGGGGTCCCTGAGGGGGAGGGGGAGGGGCTCGGGTGTGGCCACGCCCCCCGGAGCGATGTGGGCGGGGCTTGGGGGTTTGGGGGCGGGGCCCGAGCGAGGGGCGGGGCCGGCGGCGTTAGGTGCTGAAATAGACTGGGAAAATTTGCATATGATTAGCATATTTGTCCCTCATTTGCATGTCCCCTCCCCGTTTTTGCATGCTCCATCCCCTCATTTGCATAACCAGAGCTCCACCCACTCCCTCGTTTGAATGCATCGGGTCTCTAATTTGCATATGATTTGCATTTGATGCACATAAACTAATATTATATTTACATAGCCCCGCCCACTCTATTCCAGCCCTCATTTGCATAAGAGACCCTCATTTGCATCCTCCCCAGTTTCTCATTAGCATGCGCTGTTAATTTGCATAACCCCCAATTATGCCCAGCCCTTCATTTGAATCCCTCACCCCTATTTGCATATCCAGGCCTTATTTGCATATCTAAATCTATTCATTTGAATGCCATTCCCCTTCTTTGCATACACGGCACCCTCATTTGCATAACCCAAAAACTCCCGTTTCCGTAACCCATCACCTCATTAACATAACCCAACCCTCATTTGCATACCCACGCATCCCTTAATTACCCACTGTGCCTCATTTGCATGCCACACCCCTCATTTGCATGCCACACCCCTCATTTGCATGCCCCACCCAGCTTCCCCTACACTGTGCCCATCTCCCCCTTTGCATACGTGCTCCCCGATTTGCATCTCATTTGCATCTCATTTGCATAAGCAGCGGCTCACCGATGATGATGATGAGGACGATGGCGCAGATGACGCCCAGGATGATCATCATCTGTGGGATTTGGGGCGATTTTTGGGGATTTGGGAAAATTTTGGGGAATTTGGGGGAATTTGGGGCATTTGGGGGATTTTGGGGGAATTTAAGGGATTTTTTAGGGTGATTTTTTTGGCATTTTTTTGGATTTTGGGGTGATTTTTTGGGATATTTTTCGGGAGTTTTGGGGTGGATTTTTGGGCATTTGGGGCCATTTTGGGACTAATTGGAGCCATTTTGGGGCCATTCTGGTCTATTTTGGGGCCATTTCAGCCCATTTTGGGTCTATTTCGGGGTATTTTGGGTCTATTTTGGGGTATTTTGGGTCATTCCTACCTTGAGGTTCTTCCACCAGTACTTGCGCTTGAGCCTGGGGCCATTTGGGGCCATTTGGGGTCTATTTTGGTGGATTTAGGGTCTATTTTGGGTCTATTTTGGGGGATTTTGGGCCTATTTTTGTGGATTTTGGGCCATTTTGGGTCTATTTTGGGGGATTTTGGGCCATTTGGGGTCTATTTTGGAGGATTTTGGGTCTATTTTGGGGGATTTTGGGTCATTTCCTACCTTGAGGTTCTTCCACCAGTACTTGCGCTTGAGCTTGGGGCCATTTGGGTCCATTTTGGGTCTATTTTGGGGGTTTTTGGGCCTAGTTTTGTGGATTTTGGGCCATTTTGGGTCTATTTTGGGGGATTTTGGGTCTATTTTGGAGGATTTTGGGTCTATTTTGGGGGATTTTGGGTCGTTTCCTACCTTGAGGTTCTTCCACCAGTACTTGCGCTTGAGCTTGGGGCCATTTGGGGCCATTTGGGGCCATTTTGGGACTAATTAGATCCATTTTGGGTCTATTTTAGGGTATTTTGGGGGATTTTGGGTCTATTTTGGGAGATTTAGGGCTGTTTTGGGGCTATTTTGGGGGATTTTGGGTCTATTTTGGGGTATTTTGGGTCTATTTTAGGGGATTTAGGGCCATTTTGGGTCTATTTTGGGGTATTTTGGGTGGTTTCCTACCTTGAGGTTCTTCCACCAGCGCTTGCCCTTGAGCTTGGGGCCATTTGGGGCCATTTGGGGCCATTTTGTGGCCATTCTGGGTCTATTTTGGGTCTATTTTGGGGGATTTTGCGTCTATTTTGGGGGATTTTGAGGGATTTTGGGTCTATTTAGGGGTATTTTGGGTGGTTTCCTACCTTGAGGTTCTTCCACCAGTACTTGCGCTTGAGCTTGGGGCCATTTGGGGCCATTTGGGGCCATTTTGGTGCTATTTAGGGCCATTTTGGGTCTATTTAGGGCCATTTTGGGTCTATTTTGGGTCTATTTTGGATCTATTTTGGGTCTATTCTGGGGGATTTTGGGTCATTTCCTACCCTGAGGTTCTTCCACCAGTACTTGCGCTTGAGCTTGGGGCCATTTGGGGCCATTTCAGCCCATTTTGGGTCTATTTTGGGGGGTTTTGGGTCTATTTTGGGCCATTTCGGGTCTATTTTGGGGTAATTTCTGACTATTTTGGGGGATTTTGGTGCTATTTTGGGGGATTTTGGGTCTATTTTGGGGGGTTTTGGTTCTATTTTTGGGGATTTTGGGCCATTTAGGGTCTATTTTGGGTAATTTTGGGCCATTTTGGGTCTATTTTGGGGGATTTCAGCCCATTTTGGGTCTATTTTGGGGAATTTTGGGTCATTCCTACCTTGAGGTTCTTCCACCAGTACTTGCGCTTGAGCTTGGGGCCATTTGGGGCCATTTTGGGCCAATTTGTGGACATTTTGGGCCATTTTGGAGCTATTTTGGGGGATTTTGGGGCTATCTTGGGTCAATTTTGGGAGATTTTGGGCCATTTTGGGGTTATTTTGGGTGATTTTAGTTGGTTTCCTACCTTGAGGTTCTTCCACCAGTACTTGCGCTTGAGCTTGGCCGCGCTGGTCTCGAACTGGGAGGCGCCGGCCTGGAGCGCGTCCGCCCGATCGTCCAGCTCGGAGAGTTTCTGGTCCCGCTCCAGCACCTTGTCCACGTTCACCCGCATGATGTCCACCACCTGCGGCCGGGGGCAGCGGTCAGTGCCGGAGTGACCACAGCGGGCAGCGGTCAGCGGCCGGAGTGACCACGGGAATGGCCCAAAGGGCAGCGGTCAGCGGCCGGAGTGACCGGCCGGGGTCACGGACAGCGGTCAGTGCTCATAGTGACCACTGCGTCCAACTGAGGGGCAGCGGTCAGTGCTCAGAGTGACCACAGCGGGCAGCGGTCAGCGGCCGGAGTGACCACAGCGGGCAGCGGTCAGTGCCAGAGTGACCACAGCGATGGCCCAAAGGGCAGCGGTCAGTGCTCAGAGTGACCACTGTGTCCAGTGAGAGGCAGCGGTCAGCGCCAGAGTGACTACTGTGTCTGGCCGAGGGGCAGCGGTCAGCGGCCGGAGTGACCACAGTAATATCCCAAAGGGCAGCGGTCAGCGGCCAGAGTGACCACAGGGATGGCCCAAAGGGCAGCGGTCAGTGCCAGAGTGACCACAGAGTCCGGCCGGGGTCACAGACAGCGGTCAGTGCTCAGAGTGACCACTGTGTCCGGTCACAGTCACGGGACAGCGCCAGAGTGACCACAGTGATGGCACAAAGGGCAGTGGTCAGCGCCAGAGTGACCACAGCGGGCAGCGGTCAGTGCCGGAGTGACCACAGCGGGCAGCGGTCAGCGCCAGAGTGACCACAGTGATGGCACAAAGGGCAGTGGTCAGCACCAGAGTGACCACAGAGGACAGCGGTCAGTGCCGGAGTGACCACAGAGTCCGGTCACGGACAGCGGTCAGCGGCCGGAGTGACCACAGCGGGCAGCGGGCAGCGGCCGCAGTGACCACAGCGGGCAGCGGGCAGCGGCCGCAGTGACCACAGCAGGCAGCGGTCAATGGCCGGAGTGACCACAGCAATGGCCCAAAGGGCAGCGGTCAGCGGCCGGAGTGACCACAGCGGGCAGCGGTCAGTGCCGGAGTGACCACTGTGTCCAGTCACGGACAGCGGTCAGTGCCCGGAGTGACCACTGTGTCCGGCCGAGGGGCAGCGGTCAGTGCTCAGAGTGACCACAGCGATGGCCCAAAGGGCAGCGGTCAGTGCTCAGAGTGACCACTGTGTCCGGTCATGGACAGCGGTCAGTGCTCAGAGTGACCACAGCGATGGCCCAAAGGGCAGCGGTCAGTGCTCAGAGTGACCACACAGAGTGACCACAGCCAGGGAGTGACCACAGCCAGGGAGTGACCACAGCTGTTCACCCCCAGGGGTCAAAGGTCACGAATGACCCCATCCCTCCTTGGCCACGCCCACTGACCGCACCCACTGACCACACCCAACTGACCACACCCCTCCCCCACACCCACTGACCACACCCACTGACCACACCCACTGACCACACCCACTGACCGCACCCACTGACCACACCCGCTGACCACACCCACTGACCACACCCACTGACCACTCCCACTGACCACACCCACTGACCACACCCGCTGACCACACCCACTGACCCCTCCCCTTTCCCCTCCCCCATTTCTGACCCCTCCCCCATTTCACTGACCCCTCCCCCATTTCCCCTCCCCCATTTCTGACCCTCCCCCCTTTCCCCTCCCCCTCTTACTGACCCCTCCCCCCTTTTCACCTCCCCCATTTCTGACCCCTCCCCCATTTCCCCTCCCCCGTTTCCCCTCCCCCATTTCATTGACCCCTCCCCCATTTCTGACCCCTCCCCCTCTCCCCTCCCCCTCCCCCCATTTTCCCTCCCCAATTTCTGACCCCTCCCCCCCTTTTCCCTCCCCGAATTCTGACCCCTCCCCCCCTCCCTCCCCATTTCCCCTCCCCCATTTCTGACCCCTCCCCCATTTTATCGACCCCTCCCCCATTTCACTGACCCCTCCCCCATTTCCCCTCCCCCTCTCACTGACCCCTCCCCCCTTCCCCTCTCCCCTCCCCCAATTCTGACCCCTCCCCCATTTCACTGACCCTTCCCCCCCATTTCCCCTCCCCCATTTCTGACCCCTCCCCCCGTTTTTGACCCCTCCCCCATTTCACTGACCCCTCCCCCCATTTTTGACCCCTCCCCCATTTATAACCCATCCCCCTCTCCCCTCCCCCATTTCTGACCCCTCCCCCCCTTTTGGCCTCCCCATTTCCCCTCCCCCATTTCCCCTCCCCCATTTCATTGACCCCTCCCCCTTTCACTGACCCCTCCCCATTTCCCCTCCCCCGTTTCATTGACCCCTCCCCCATTTCTGACCCCTCCCCAGACCCCTCCCCCCCTTTTCCCCTCCCCCATTTCAGACCCCTCCCCCATTTCTGAACCCTCCCCCATTTCATTGACCCCTCCCTTTTTCCCCTCCCCCATTTCTGACCCCTCCCCCCTCACTGACCCCTCCCCCATTTCCCCTCCCCCATTTCTGACCCCTCCCCCCCCGCCCCTCCCCCACCTCATCCACTTGGGCCTGGGTCTGCTGCAGCCGCCGGTTGCTGGTCAGGTTGGGGGGAGGGGCGGGGGGTCCCCCCCCTTCGCCCGCGGCGGGGGGAGGGGCGGCGGGGGCCGAGGGCGCCGACCTGGCCGGAGGGCAAAGGTCAAAGGTCACACGGAGCCCCGGGGCGAGCAGGGGACACGGGGGGGGGGGGAAGTGACCACAGAGTGACCCCAGAGTGACCCCCACAGTGACCCCAGAGTGACCACAGAGTGACCACAAGTGACCACAGAGTGTCCCCAGAGTGACCCCAAAGTGACCACAGAGTGACCTCAAAGTGACCACAAAGTGACCACAGAGTGTCCCCAGAGTGACCCCAGAGTGACCCCAAAGTGACCCCAGAGTGACCACAGAGTGACCCCAAAGTGACCACAGGGGTGGCCCCAACGTCCGAGTGACCCCCAGGGTGTCCCGAATGTCCCCAAAGTGACCACAGGGGTGTCCCCAGTGTCTGAGTGACCCCCAGGGTGTCCCCAATGTCCCCAGAGTGACCCTTGGGGTGACCCCAATGTCCCCAGAGTGACCACAGAGTGACCACAGAGTGTCCCAAATGTCCCTGGGGTGTCCCCAGTGTCTGAATGACCCCCAGGATGTCCCCAGAGTGACCACAGAGTGTCCCCAATGTCCCTGAGGTGTCCCCAATGTCCCCGAAGTGACCACAGGGGTGTCCCCAGAGTGACCCCGGGGTGTCCCCAACGTCTGAGTGACCCTTAGAGTGACCACAGAGTTGTCCCCAATGTCAGAGTGACCCCCAGGGTGTCCCCAGTGTCCCCAGAGTGACCCTTGGGCCATCCCCAATGTCCCTGGAGTGTCCCCAATGTCCCCGAAGTGACCACAGAGTGACCCCAATGTCCCTGGGCTGTCCCAAGAGTGACCACAGGGCTGTCCCCAACATCTGAGTGACCACAGGGGTGACTCCAGTGTCTGAGTGACCCACAGGGGTGTCCCCAATGTCCAAGTGACCCCTGGGCTGTCCCAAGAGTGACCACAGGGGTGTGTCCCCAAAGTGACCCCAAAGTGTCCCCAATGTCCCTGAGGTGTCCCCAGTGTCCCCGAAGTGACCACAGTGATGTCCCCAGTGTCAGAGTGACCACAGAGTGACCCCAATGTCCGAGGGACCCCCAGACCACCCAAGTGACCCCCTGGGGTGTCCCAAATGTCCCCAAAGTGACCCTTGGGGTGTCCCTAATGTCCCCAGAGCGACCACAGGGGTGTCCCCAATGTCCGAGTGACCCTTGGAGTGTCCCCAATGTCCCCAGAGTGACCCTTGGAGTGTCCCCAGAGTGACCACAGAGTGTCCCCAATGTCCTTAGAGTGACCACAGGGGTGACCCCAATGTCTGAATGACCCCCAGGATGTCCCCAAAGTGACCACAGGGGTGTCCCCAATGTCCGAGTGACCACAGGGTGCCCTCAAAGTGACCACAGAGTGTCCCAAATGTCCCCAGAGTGACCACAGGGGTGTCCCCAAACTCCCCAGAGTGACCACAGAGTGACCCCAACGTCCAAGGGACCCCCAGACCACCCAAGTGACCCCTCCCAGGGTGTCCCCAATGTTTGAGTGACCCCCGGAGTGTCCCCAGAGTGACCACAGAGTGTCCCCAACATCCCCAAAGTGACCACAGAGTGTCCCCCAATGTCCTGAGAGTGACCACAGGGGTGTCCCAATGTCCAAGTGACCCCTCCCAGCGTGTCCCGAGAGTGACCCTTGGGGTGTCCTCACTGTCCCCAAAGTGACCATAGAGTGACCCCAATGTCCCCGAGGTGTCCCCAGTGTCCCCAAAGTGACCACAGGGGAGACCCCAGAGTGACCACAGGGGTGACCCCAGTGTCAGAGTGACCACAGGGTGCCCTCAAAGTGACCACAGAGTGTCCCCAATGTCCCCAGAGTGACCCTTGGGGTGTCCCCAGAGTGACCACAGAGTGTCCCCAATATCCCCGAGGTGTCCCCAATGTCCCCACAGGGGTGTCCCCAATGTCCCCAGAGTGACCCTTGGAGTGTCCCCAATGTCCCTGAGGTGTCCCCAGAGTGACCACAGAGTGACCACAGGGTGTCCCAAATGTTCCTGAGGTGTCCCCACTGTCCCCAAAGTGACCACAGGGGTGTCCCAATGTCTGAGTGACCCCTGGTGTGTCCCCAGTGACCCCCGGGATGTCCCCAGAGTGACCTTTGGGGTGACCCCAACATCTGAGTGACCCCCCCGGGGTGTCCCCAATGTCCCCAGAGTGACCACAGAGTGACCCCTGGGGTGTCCCCAGTGTCTGAGTGACCACAGAGGTGTCCTGAGAGTGACCACAGGGATGTCCCCAGAGTGACCCTTGGGCCATCCCCAATGTCCGAGTGACCACAGGATGCGCTCAAAGTGACCACGGAGTGTCCCCAATGTCCTGAGAGTGACCACAGAGTGTCCCTAATGTCCCCACAGTGACCACAGGAGTGTCCCCAATGTCCCCACAGTGACCACAGGAGTGTCCCCAATGTCCCCGAGGTGTCCCCGATGTCCCCAGAGTGACCCATGGGGTGTCCCCAGACTGACCACAGAGTGACCCCAGGGTGTCCCCAGCGTCTGAGTGACCCCCAGAGTGGCCACAGAGTGTCCCCAATGTCCCCAAAGTGACCCCCAGGGTGCCCCCACTGTCCCCAGAGTGACCACAGAGTGTCCCCAATGTCCGAGTGACCACAGGGTATCCTCAAAGTGACCACAGAGTGTCCCCAATGTCCCCAAAGTGACCACAGAGTGTCCCCAATGTCCCCAGAGTGACCACAGAGTGTCCCCAATGTCCCCACAGGGGTGTCCCAATGTCCCCAGAGTGACCACAGCGATGTCCCCAATGTCCGAGTGACCCCCAGGATGTCCCCAGAGTGACCACAGAGTGTCCCCAACATCACCAGAGTGACCACAGGGGTGTCTTAATGTCCGAGTGACCCTTGGGGTGTCCCCAGAGTGACCACAGGGGTGTCCCAAATGTCCCCAAAGTGACCCCCAGGGTGTCCCCAATGTCTGAGTTACCACAGGGGTGTCGCCAAAGTGACCACAGGGGTGTCCCCAGTGTCTGAGTAACCCCCAGGGTGTCCCCAATGTCCCCAGAGTGACCACAGAGTGACCACAGAGTGTCCCAAATGTCCCCACAGGGGTGTCCCACTGTCCCCAAAGTGACCACAGAGTGTCCCCAATGTCTGAGTGACCACAGCGGTGTCCCCAAAGTGACCACTGGGGTGACCTCAGTGTCAGAGTGACCCCCGGGGTGACCCCAACACCCTCAAAGTGACCCTTGGGGTGTCCCCAATGTCCCCAGAGTGACCCCAAAGTGACCACAGAGTGTCCCCAATGTCCTGAGAGTGACCCCCGGGGTGACCCCACCACCCCCAGAGTGACCCCGCGGGTCCCGCCCCCTCCCCCCCCCGGGGGTCCCCCCTTTTCGGGCCCCTCCCCCACCCCACTCCCCCCTCAATGGGGGAGGGGCGGAGCCTCCGCAGGGTGGGGGAGGGGCCGGGCCGCGATTTTCCCACCCCTCCCCCACCCCGGGGCCGCATCGGGAGCTAAAAATAGACCCGGAGGGGGGAGGGGCGGGGTGGGGGAGGGTGGGGGAGGGGCCCTCCCAGTGCTCCCAGTGCTCCCAGTTCGGGCACCCCGCGCCCCTCCCCCACTCGGGGGGGGCTCTGCGGAGTTTGGGGGGGGGTGGGGGAGGGGCGGGTGGGGGAGGGGCGGGATGGGGGAGGGGGGATGGAGGGGTGGGGGAGGGGTGGGAGGGGATGGGGGGATGGGTCCCCAAATTTGAGCCCCGGGGGGGATGGGGGGATGGGTGTGGGGGAGGGGCGGGGCGGGGAGGGCCGGGGGGGGATGGGGGGTCCGGGGGGCGGTGGGGGAGGGGCGGGGGGGTCCCGGGGGGTCCCGGGGGGGGTCGCGCCCCCCACTCACATCGCGGAGCGGAGCGCGGTCGGTGCGGCGGAAGATGGCGGCGGGGGCGGCGCGACACATCCGGGAACCGGGGGGGGAGGGGCGGGGGGGGGGGGGAGGGGGGGGGAGGGGCTGGGAACGGCGGGGGGGCTGTGGGGGGGCTATGGGGCATCTTATGGGGTGGGGGTTTCTATGGGGTGAGGGTATCTATGGGGGAATCTATAGGGTGGGGGTCTCTATGGGGCACAGGGGGTCTATGGGGTGGGGGCCTCTATAGGGCATCCTATGGGGTGGGGGGCTCTATGGGGTGGGGGGCTCTATGGGGTGGGGGGCTCTATGGGGTGGGGGGCTCTATGGGGCAGGAGAAGATCTATGGGGCACAGGAGGTTTATGGGGTGGGGGATCTATTGGGCACGGGGCACGGGGGTTCTCTGTGGGGTCCCTCAGTGGGTCTGGGGTCTCTGAGTCTATGGGGCAGGGGAGTTCTCTGTGGGGTTTTTGTGGGGCTGGGGTCTCTCTGTGGGTCTGGGGTCTCTCTCTGTGGTGTTTTGGGTCTGGGGTCTCTCTCTGGGGTCTCTCTCTGTGGGGTTTTTGTGGGTCTGGGGTCTCTCAGTGGGGTCTCTCAGTGGGTCTGGGGTCTCTCCGGGGTCTCTCAGTGGGGTTTCTGTGGGTCTGGGGTCTCTCTGTGGTGTTTTGGGTCTGGGGTCTGTCTCTGTGGGTCTGGGGTCTCAGTGGGTCTCTCAGTGGGTCTCTGTGGGGTTTTTATGGGTCTGGGGTCTCTCTGTGGGTCTCTGTGTGGGTCTCTCAGTGGGTGTATTTTGGGTCTGGGGTCTCTGTGTGGGGTCTCTCAGTGGGTCTGGGGTCTCTCTCTCAGTGGGGTGTATTTGGGTCTGGGGTCTCTCGGTGGTGTGTTTTGGGTCTGGGGTCTCTGTGGGTCTCTCTCAGTGGGTTTGTTTTGGGTCTGGGGTCTCTATGGGTCTCTCTGTGGGTCTCTGTGTGGGGTGTATTTGGGTCTGGGGTCTCTGTGTGGGTCTGGGGTCTCTCTCAGTGGGTCTCTCAGTGGGTCTCTGTGGGGTCTCTGTGGGTCTGGGGTCTCTCTGTGGCTCTGGCATCTCTCTCTGTGTGGGGTTTGTTTTGGGTCTGGGGTCTCTGTGGTTCTCAGTGGGTCTCTCTCTGTGGGGGGTATTTGGGTCTGGGGTCTCTCTGTGGGTCTCTCTCAGTGGGTTTGTTTTGGGTCTGGGGTCTCTCTCTGTGGGTCTCTGTGGGTCTGGGGTCTCTGTGGGGTGTTTTGGGTCTGGGGTCTCTGGGGTCTCTCTGGGGTCTCTGTGGGTCTCAGTGGGTTTTTTGTGGGTTTGTTTTGGGTCTGGGGTCTCTCTGTGGGTCTCTAAGTGGGTCTGGGGTCTCTCTCTGGGGTCTCTCTGTGGGTGTATTTGGGTCTGGGGTCTCTGTGGGTCTCTGTGGGTCTCAGTGGGTTTGTTTTGGGTCTGGGGTCTCTCAGTGGGTCTGGGGTCTCTGTGGGTCTCTCTCTGGGGTTTTTGGGTCTGGGGTCTCTGTGGGTCTCTCCAGGGTCTCTCAGTGGGTCTGGGGTCTCTCTGTGGGTCTCTCAGTGGGTCTCTCTGTGGGGTTTTTTGGGTCTGGGGTCTCTCAGTGGGTCTGGGGTCTCTGTGTGGGGTTTTTTGGGTCTGGGGTCTCTCTCTGTGGGTCTGGGGTCTCAGTGGGTGTTTTGGGTCTGGGGTGTCTCAGTGGGTCTCTCTCTGTGTGGGTATTTGGGTCTGGGGTCTCAGTGGGGTCTCTCAGTGGGTCTGGGGTCTCTATGGTGTTTTGGGTCTGGGGTCTCTCAGTGGGTCTGGGGTCTCTGTGGGGTGTATTTGGGTCTGGGGTCTCTCTCTGTGGGTCTCTGTGGGTGTATTTTGGGTCTGGGGTCTCTCTGTGGGTCTCTCTGTGGGTCTCTCAGTGGGGGGTATGTGGGTCTGGGGTCTCTCTCAGTGGGTTTTTTTTGGGTCTGGGGTCTCTCTGTGGGGTCTCTCAGTGGGTCTCTGTGTGGGTCTCTCAGTGGGTCTGGGGTCTCTCTGTGGGTTTGTTTTGGGTCTGGGGGCATCTATGGGGTGGGGGATCTATGGGGCGGGGGAGGGGCTATGGGGGATCTATGGGGCGGGGGAGGGGCTATGGGGCATCCTATGGGGCGGGGGCCTCTCTGTGGGTCTGGGGTCTCTCAGTGGGTCTCAGTGGGTCTCTCTGTGTGGGGTCTCTGTGGGTCTGGGGTCTCTCAGTGGGGTGTATTTGGGTCTGGGATCTCTGTGGGTCTCTGTGGGGTTTATGTGGGTCTCTCTCAGTGTGGGGTATTTTGGGTCTGGGGTCTCAGTGTGGTGTATTTGGGTCTGGGGTCTCTGTGTGGGGTGTATTTTGGGTCTGGGGTCTCTGGGGTCTCTCTCTGTGGGTGTGTTTTGGGTCTGGGGTCTCTGTGGGTCTCTCAGTGGGTCTCTCTGTGGGTCTCAGTGGGTCTCTCTCTGTGTGGGGTTTGTTTTGGGTCTGGGGTCTCTGTGTAGGTCTCTGTGGGCCTCTCTGTGGGTCTGGGGTCTCTCTGTGGGTCTCTCAGTGGGTCTCAGTGGGGGTATTTGGGTCTGGGGTCTGTCCCCTCCCCCCAGGGTCACTCCCGGAGCCTTTTTGGGTAAAACCAGAGCGGCTTTATTGGGGGAGGGGCAACAGAGACAGAGACAGAGACCCCTCCCCAAATTCGGGGGGGGAGGGGCGGGGCAAAGGGGGAGAGACCCCTCCCCAAATTCGGGGGGGGAGGGGCAGGGGAGAGACCCCTCCCCAAATTCGGGGGGGGAGGGGCAGAGAGAGACCCCTCCCCAAATAACGGGGGGGAGGGGCAAAGGGAGACCCCTCCCCAAATTCGGGGGGGAGGGGCGGGGGGGGAGAGACCCCTCCCCAAATAACGGGGGGGAGGGGAGGGGCAGAAGGAGACCCCTCCCCAAATAACGGGGGGGGAGGGGCAGGGGGAGACCCCTCCCCAAATTCAGGGTGGGGGAGGGGCCCCCAATGGCAGCAGTGGGGAGACCCCTCCCCAAAATGGGGGCAGTGTCCAGAGGGGTCAGAGGTCAAAGGTCAGGGTCCGAGGGGTCATTGGACAGTGTCCAAGGGGTCAGAGGTCACAGAGGGGTCAAAGGTCAGGGGTCATTATCCGAGGGGTCATTGGGCAGTGTCCGAGGGGTCAGAGGTCATGGGGAGGTCACGGGGGGCAGCACCCATGGGTGCCCCAGCACCCCGCGCAGGGGGATGGTCAGTGATGGGTGGTCAGTGTCCGGAGGGGTCAGAGGTCACACAGGGGTCACTGAGGGCAGTACCCGGGGGGCAGCACCCGGCGGGAGTGCTCCCGCACCCATGGGTGCCCCAGCACCCCGCGCAGGGGGACGGTCAGTGATGGGTGGTCAGTGTCCGGAGGGGTCAGAGGTCACACACGGGGGTCAGAGGTCACACACAGGGGTCAGAGGTCAGGGTGGGCAGTACCCCGGGGGCAGCACCCGTCGGGAGTGCTCCCGCACCCATGGGTGCCCCAGCACCCCGCGCAGGGGGAGGCGCTGCCCCGGGAGGCGCCGCAGCAGCCGCTGGATCAGATCCCGAGCGCCCCCCGGCACCGACCCCGGGAACTGCAGGTCCACCTGCGGGGGGGGAGAAAGGTGAGTTCAGGTGGGCACAGGTGGGCACAGGTGGGGTTTAGGTGGAGTTTAGGTGGGCACAGGTGAGATTGGGGGCACACAGGTGGGCACAGGTGGGGTTTAGGTGGGCACAGGTGGGTTCAGGGGGGGCACAGGTGAGGTTCAGGTGAGGTTTAGGTGGGCACAGGTGGGCACCACACAGGGAACAGGTGAGATTGGGGGCACACAGGTGGACACAGGTGAGGTTCAGGTGAGGTTTAGTTGGGCACAGGTGGGCTCAGGTGGGCACACAGGTGGGCACAGATGAGCTCAGGTGGGCACAGCTGGGCTCAGGTGGGCACACACAGGGGTTCAGGTGAGGTTTAGGTGGAGTTTAGGTGGGCACAGGTGAGGTTAGGTGGGCACAGGTGAGGTTAGGTGGGCACAGGTGAGGTTCAGGTGGGGTTTAGGTGGGCACAGGTGGGCACAGGAGGGCACAGGTGACATTGGGGGAGCACAGGTGGGCACAGGTAGGCTCAAGGTGGGCACAAAGGGGGTGCACAGGTGGGCACAGGGGGGGCTCAGGTGGGCACAGGGGGCATAGGTGGGCATGGGGGGGTTCAGGTGAGGTTTAGGTGGGCACAGGTGGGCACCAGTGGGCTCAGGTGGGCTCAGGTAAGGTTCAGGTGGGCACAGGTGAGGTTCGTATGGGCACAGGGGGGCACAGGTGACCCCTCAGGTGGGCACAGGTGGGCACAAAGGGTGGCACAGGTGGGCACAGGTGGGCACAGGTGAGGTTTAGGTGAGGTTTAGTTGGGCACAGGTAAGATTCAGGTGGGCACAGGAGGCACAGGTGGGCACAGGTGGGTTCAGGTGAGGTTTAGGTGGGCACAGGGGGGCACAGGTGGGGTCAGGTGGGCACAGGTAAGGACAGCTGTGCCCAGGTGTGCCCCGCTCACCTGGGTGATCCTGCGGTAGGTGTGAACCTCAGGGGGGTGCCCACAGGGGGATTTGGGTCATTTTGGGTCAGTTTTGAGCTGTTTTTTGCTCAATTTTCGGGGTATATCTGTGCCCAGGTATGCCCAGCTGTGCCCAGGTGTGCCCAGGTGTGCCCAGGTGTGCCCAGGTGTGCCCAGGTGCCCCCCGCTCACCTGGGTGATCCTGCGGTAGGTGTGAACCTCACAGGGTGATTTTGGGTCAGATTTGGGTCAGTTTTGGGCTGGTTTTTGCTCAGTTTTCGGGGTATATCAGTGCCCAGGTGTGCCCAGGTGTGCCCAGGTGTGCCCAGGTGTGCCAGGTGAGCTCACCTGGGTGATCCTGCGGTAGGTGTGAACCTCACAGGGTGATTTTGGGTTAGATTTGGGTCAGTTTTGGGCTGTTTTTTGCTCAGTTTACGGGGGATATCAGTGCCCAGGTGTGCCCAGGTGTGCCCAGGTGTGCCCAGGTGCCCCCCGCTCACCTGGGTGATCCTGCGGTAGGTGTCGGCGGCCGAGGGGCTCTCGAAGGGGGGGTGCCCGGCCAGCAGCTCGTAGCAGAGCACCCCCAGGCACCACAGGTCCACCTTCTCGTCGTGCCCGCCGCCCTCCACCATCTCGGGGGGCAGGTAATCCAGGGTGCCACAGAGCGTGCGGCGCCTGAGGGGTTAAACGGGCACACCTGGGCACCTGGGCACACCTGGGCACACCTGGGTGCTCCTGTGCCAGGTAATCCAGGGTCCCGCAGAGCGTGCGGCGCCTGAGGGGTTAAACGGGCACACCTGGCACACCTGGGCACACCTGGGCATGCCCCCGTGCCAGGTAATCCAGGGTGCCACAGAGCGTGCGGCGCCTGAGGGGTTAAACGGGCACACCTGGCACACCTGGGCACACCTGGGCACACCTGGGCACGCCCCTGTGCCAGGTAAGCCAGAGTGACGCAGAGCGTGCGGCGCCTGAGGGGTTAAACGGGCACACCTGGCACACCTGGGCACACCTGGGTACACCCCTGTGCCAGGTAATCCAGGGTGCCACAGAGCGTGCGGCGCCTGAGGGGTTAAACGGGCACACCTGGGCACACCTGGGCACACCTGGCACACCTGGGCACACCTGGGCATGCCCCCGTGCCAGGTAATCCAGGGTGCCACAGAGCGTGCGGCGCCTGAGGGGTTAAACGGGCACACCTGGGCACACCTGGGCACACCTGGGCACACCTGGGTACACCTGGCACACCTGGGCACACCTGGGCACGCCCCCGTGCCAGGTAATCCAGGGTGCCGCAGAGCGTGCGGCGCCTGAGGGGTTAAACGGGCACACCTGGCACACCTGGGCACACCTGGGCACACCTGGGCACACCTGGGCATGCCTGAGCACACCTGGCACACCTGGGCACACCTGGGATACACCTGGGCACACCTGGCACACCTGGGCACACCTGGGCACGCCCCTGTGCCAGGTAATCCAGGGTCCCGCAGAGCGTGCGGCGCCTGAGGGGTTAAACGGGCACACCTGGTGTGTTCAGGTGTATCCAGGTGTGTGCCCAGGTGTACCCAGATGTGCCCCAGCTGTATCCAGCTGTGCCCAGGTGTGCCCAGGTGTGCCACAAGTGTGCCGAGGTGTGTGCCCAGGTGTGCCCAGGTGTACCCAGGTCTATCCCAGGTGTGCCCAGCTGTACCCTAGGTGTGCCCAGGTGTACCGAGCTGTGCCCAGGTGTGCCCATGTGTACCGAAATGTGCCCCACATTTGCCCAGGTGTGCCCAGGTATGCCCCAGGTGTACCCCAGGTGTGCCCAGCTGTACCCCAGGTTTCCCCAGGTACCCCAGCTGTACCCCAGGTGTGCCCAGGTGTATCCAAATGTGCCCCAAGTGTACCCAGCTGTACCCAGGTATGCCCATGTGTACCCCAGGTGTATCCAGATGTGCCCTAGGTGTACCAAATTGCACCCCAAGTGTACCCAGCTGTACCCAGGTGTATCCCAGCTGTGCCCAGGTGTGCCCAGGTGTACCCCAGCTGTGCCCAGGTGTGTACCCCAGATGTTCCCAGCTGTGCCCAGGTATACCCAGCTGTACCCCAGGTGTGCCCAGGTGTGCTCAGGTGCGCCCAGGTGTACCCAAATGTCCCCCAGCTGTGCCCAGCTGTGCCCAGGTCTGCCCCAGGTCTACCCAAATGTACCCCAGCTGTGCCCAGGTGTACCCAGGTGTACCCAGGTGCCCCCAGCTGTACCCAGGTGCCCCCAGGTGTGTGCCCAGGTGTATCCCAGCTGTGCCCCAGCTGTACCCCATGGATACCCAACTGTGCCCAGGTGTACCCAGCTGTGCCCAGGTGTGTGCCCAGGTGTACCCAGGTGTGCCCAGGTGTGTGCCCAGCTGTACCCCAGGTGCCCCCAGCTCTGCCCAGCTGTGCCCAGGTGCCCCCAGGTGTTCCAGGTGTACCCAGGTGCCCCCAGGTGTGCCCAGGTGTATCCCATTTGTACCCATGTATACCCAGGTGTGCCCAGGTGTACCTAGGTGTGTGCCCAGCTGTACCCCAGGTGTACCCAGGTGCCCCCAGCCGTGCCCAGGTGTGTGCCCAGGTGTGCCCCCAGGTGTACCCAGGTGCCCCCAGCTGTACCCCAGCTATACCCAGCTGTACCCAGGTGCCCCCAGCTGTGCCCAGGTGTGCCAGGTGCCCCCAGGTGTGCCCAGGTGTATCCCATTTGTACCCACGTGTGCCCAGGTGTGCCCAGGTGTGCCCAGCTGTGCCCAGGTGTATCCCATTTGTACCCAGCTGTACCCACGTGTACCCAGGTCTATCCCAGGTGTGTGCCCAGGTGTGTGCCCAGGTGTGCCCAGGTGTGCCGTACCTGAGCGAGGGCGCGTGCACGGACCAGCCGAAATCGGCGATCTTGAGCTCCCCCTTGAGGCCGAGCAGGAGATTCTCGGGTTTGATGTCGCGGTGGATCACCTTGCGCCCGTGGCAGTACAGCAGCGCGTCCGCCAGCTCCTCCATCAGCTGCGGAATCCGGGCTCAGGGCACCCCAAAACCCTCCGGGGCACCCCAAAAATCGACTCGGGGCACCCCAAAACCCCCCAAACCCCCCCAGGTGTGCCCAGGTACCCCCAAATCCCCCCCAGGTGCTCAGGGCGGAAGCGGCTCCTCCGTGGGGGAAAAGGAACAAAAACTGACCTGGAGGTCCCCAAAATCCTGCAGAGTGACCCCAAAATCCACCCAGGGCACCCCAAAATCCTCCAAAGTGACCCCAAAAATGGACTCGGGGCGCCCCAAAACCCCCTGAACCCCCCCAGGTGTGCCCAGGTACCCCCAAATACCCCACAGGTGTTCAGGGGGGAAGCGGCTCCTCCGTGGGGACAAGGGAACAAAAACTGACCTGGGGCACCCCAAAATCCACCCTGGGAACCCCAAAATCCACCCAGGGCACCACAAAATCCTCTAAAGTGACCCCAAAAATGGACTCGGGGCACCCCAAAACCCCCCAAGCCCCCCCAGGTGTGCCCAGGTACCCCCAAATCCCCCCCAGGTGCTCAGGGGGGAAGCGGCTCCTCCGTGGGGACAAGAGGACAAAACTGACCCAGGCACCCCAAAATCCTCCTGGGAACCCCAAAATAGACCCAGGGCACCCCAAAATCCACCCAGGGCACCCCAAAAATGGACTCGGGGCACCCCAAAACCCCCCGAGCCCCCCCAGGTGTGCCCAGGTACCCCCAAATCCCCCCCAGGTGCTCAGGGGGGAAGCGGCTCCTCCATGGGGACAAGGGAACAAAAACTGACCTGGGGAACCCCAAAACCCACCCAGGGCACCCCAAAATCCTCCTGGGAACCCCAAAAATGGACTCGGGGCACCCCAAAACCCCCCGAGCCCCCCCAGGTGTGCCCAGGTACCCCCAAATCCCCCCCAGGTGCTCAGGGGGGAAACGGCTCCTCCGTGGGGACAAGGGAACAAAAACTGACCTGGGGCACCCCAAAATCCACCCAGGGCACCCCAAAATCCACCCAGGGCACCCCAAAATCCACCCAGGGCACCCCAAAATCCTCTGGGGCACCCCAAAAATGGACTCGGGGCACCCCAAAACCCCCCGAGCCCCCCCAGGTGTGCCCAGGTACCCCCAAATCCCCCCCAGGTGCTCAGGGGGGAAGCGGCTCCTCCATGGGGACAAAGGGACAAAAACTGACCTGGGGCACCCCAAAATCCTCCTGAGTGACCCCAAAAATCGACTTGGGGCACCCCAAAACCCTCCGGGGCACCCCAAAAATGGACTCGGGGCACCCCAAAACCCCCCGAGCCCCCCCAGGTGTGCCCAGGTACCCCCAAATCCCGCCCAGGTGCTCAGGGCAGAAGCGGCTCCTCCGTGGGGGAAAAGCACTAAAAAAGGGGGTCCAAGGCACCCCAAAATCCTCCAGAATGACCCCAAAATCCACCCAGGGCACCCCAAAATCCACCCAGGGCACCCCAAAATCCACCCAGGGCACCCCAAAATCCTCCAAAGTGACCCCAAAAATGGACTCGGGCCACCCCAAAATCGACCCTGGGCACCCCAAAATCCAACTGGGGAACCCAAAATCCACCCTGGGTACCCCAAAATCCACCCGGGGCACCCCAAAATCCAACTGGGTACCCCAAAATCCTCCAGGGACCCCAAAAATCCTCCAGAGACCCCAAAATCCTACAGGGACCCCAAAAATCCTCCTGGGTACCCCAAAATGTTCCTGGGAACCCCAAAATCCACCCTGGGGACCCCAAAATCCAACTGGGGACCCCAAAATCCTCCTGGGAACCCCAAAAATCGACTCGTGGCAGCCCAAAATCCACCCTGGGTACCCCAAAATCCACCCTGGGCGCCCCAAAATCCACCCTGGGCACCCCAAAATCCACCCTGGGGTGGCCTTGTGGTTTTTGGGGTCCCCGGGTCGTTTTTTGGGTTTTTGGGGTGCCCAGGTGGGTTTTTGGGGCCGTTTTTTGGGGTTTTTGGGGTCCCTGGGTCAGTTTTTGGGGTCCCTAGGTCAGTTTTTGGGGTGGCCGGGTTCGGTTTTTGGGGTCCCTGAATTGCTTTTTGGGGTGGTTTTTGGGGGGGTTTTGGGGTAGTTTCGGAGTATCTGAGTTGATTTTTGGGGCAGTTTTGGGGTTTTGGGTCCCTTGATCGGTTTTTGGGGTGGTTTTGGGTTTTTTGAGGTCCCCGGCTCAGTTTTTGGGGTGCCCGGGTGGGTTTTTGGGGTGGTTTTTGGGGTGCCTTGGTCGGTTTTGGGGGAGCCTGGGTCGGTTTTTGGGGTAGTTTTTGGGGTGGTTTTGGGGGGTTTTGGGGTTCCTGGGTCAGTTTTTGGGGTGCCCGGATCAGTTTTTGGGGTAGTTTTTGGGGTTCCTGGGTCGGTTTTTGTGGTGGTTTTTGGGTCCCTGAGTCAGTTTTTGGGGTGGTTTTTGGGGTCCCTAGGTCGGTTTTGGGGGTTTTTGGGGTCCCAATGTCGGTTTTTGGGGTGCCTGGGTCAGTTTTTGGGGTCCCTGGGTCAGTTTTTGGGGTGTTTTTTGGGGTTTTTGGAGTCCCTGGGTTGGTTTTTGGGGTTCCTGGGTGGGTTTTTGGGGTGGTTTTTGGGGGTCCCTGGGTCGGTTTTTGGGGTCCCTGAGTCGGTTTTTGGGGTGATTTTGGGGGTTTTTGGGGTGGGTTTTTGGGGTTTTTGGGGTCCCTGAGTCAGTTTTTGGGGTGATTTTGGGGGTTTTTGGGCTCACCGTGGCCGTGCGGGTGGCGTCCAGGCGCCGGCAGCGCTGCAGCTCCTTGTAGAGCTGCCCTGGGGTTTTGGGGCGGTTTTGGGGGTTTTTGGGGTGGTTTTGGGGGGTTTTTGGGGTCCCTGAGTCGGTTTTTGGGGTGATTTTGGGGGTTTTTGGGCTCACCGTGGCCGTGCGGGTGGCGTCCAGGCGCCGGCAGCGCTGCAGCTCCTTGTAGAGTTCCCCGCGGGGCGCGAACTCCAGGATGAGGAAGACGCGGCGCCGGTCGTGGAAGTAATTGTAGAGCCGGAGAACGTTGGGGTGCCTGGGGGGGACCCCAAAAATCAGTGAGACCCCCACCCCAAAATTCAGACCCTCACCCCAAAATTCAGACCACCCCCACCCCAAAAAATCTGGGGTCAAAATCCCCAGACCCCAAAATCTGCATCCCCCACCCCCCCCAGGGCACAATGGTGCAGTCCAAGATCTTTGGGGTGATGGGGGGACCCAAAAATGGGAGATCCCACCCCAAAAATGAGACCGCCACCCCAAAATGAGACCCCCACCCTAAAAATCAGACACCCCCCACCCCAAAAATCAGACCCCCACCCCAAAAAATCTGGGCTCAAAACCCCCAGACCCCAAAATCTGCCACCCACCCCCCCCCCGGGGCACAATGGTGCAGTCCGACATCTTTGGGGTGATGGGGGGACCCAAAAATGGGAGACCCCACCCCAAAATGAGACCCCCCCACCCCAAAACTGAGACCCCTGACCCAAAATGAGACCCCCACCTCAAAAATGAGATCCCCCATCCCCAAAAGTCAGACCCCCACCCCAAAAATCAGACCCCCCACCCGAATTCAGACCCCTGACCCAAAAATGAGACCCGCCCACAACCCTAAATGAGACCCCCACCCCAAAAACCAGACCCCCACCCCAAAATGAGACCCCCACCCTAAAAATCAGACACCCCCCACCCCAAAAATCAGACCCCCACCCCAAAAAATCTGGGCTCAAAACCCCCAGACCCCAAAATCTGCCACCCACCCCCCCCCCCGGGGCACAATGGTGCAGTCCGAGGTCTTTGGGGTGATGGGGGACCCAAAAATGGGAGATCCCACCCCAAAATGAGACCCCTGACCCAAAAATGAGACCCCCGAAAAATGAGACTCCCACCCCAAAAATGAGACCCACACCCCAAAAATTAGATCCCCCATCCCCAAAAGTCAGACCCCCACCCCAAAAATCAGACCCCCCACCTGAATTCAGACCCCTGACCCAAAAATGAGACCCCCCCACAACCCAAAATGAGACCCCCACCCCAAAAACCAGACCCCCACCCCAAAACGAGACCCCCACCCCAAAATTCAGACCTCCACCCCAAAAAATCTGGAATCAAAACCCCCAGACCCCAAAATCTGCCACCGTTCCCCCCCCCCCGGGGCACAATGGTGCAGTCCGACATCTTTGGGGTGATGGGGGACCCAAAAATGGGGGATCCCACCCCAAAAATGAGACCCCTGACCCAAAAATGAGACCCCACCCCAAAATGAGACCCCCACCTCAAAAATTAGACCCCCCATCCCCAAAAGTCAGACCCCCACCCCAAAAATCAGACCCCCCACCCGAATTCAGACCCCTGACCCAAAAATGAGACCCGCCCACAACCCAAAATGAGACCCCCTCCCCCAAAAATGAGACCCCCTCCCCCAAAAATGAGACCCCCACCCCCAAAAATGAGACTCCCACCCCCAAAAATGAGACCCCCACCCCCCAGGTGTGCCCAGGTGTACCTGAGGTATATCCCAGGTGTACCTGAGGTGTGTCCCCCACCCCCCAGGTGTGCCCAGGTGTACCTGAGGTGTGCCCAGGTGTGCCCAGGTGTGTCCCCCACCCCCCCAGGTGTGCCCAGGTGTATCCCACGTGTGCCCAGGTGTACCTGAGGTGTGCCCAGCTGTGTCCCCACCCCCCAGGTGTGCCCAGGTGTACCTGAGGTGTGCCCAGGTGTATCTCAGGTGTATCCCAGGTGTGCCCAGGTGTACCTGAGGTGCGCCTGGATCTCGATCTCCCGCCTCAGCTGGTGCTCCACCCCCCAGGTGTGCCCAGGTGTATCCCAGGTGTGTCCCCCATCCCCCAGGTGTGCCCAGGTGTGCCCAGGTGTACCTGAGGTGCGCCTGGATCTCGATCTCCCGCCTCAGCTGGTGCTCCACCCCCCCAGGTGTGCCCAGGTGTGTGCCCAGGTGTGCCCAGGTGTGTGCCCAGGTGTATCCCAGGTGTGTTTCCCACCCCCCAGGTGTGCCCAGGTGTATCCCAGGTGTATCCCAGGTGTACCTGAGGTGTGCCCCCCACCCCCCAGGTGTGCCCAGGTGTACCTGAGCTGTGCCCAGGTGTGCCCCCCACCCCCCAGGTGTGCCCAGGTGTACCTGAGGTGTGCCCAGGTGTGTGCCCAGGTGTGCCCAGGTGTACCTGAGGTGCGCCTGGATCTCGATCTCCCGCCTCAGCTGGTGCTCCACCCCCCCAGGTGTGCCCAGGTGTATCCCAGGTGTGCCCAGGTGTGCCCCCCACCCCCCAGGTGTGTGCCCAGGTGTGTCCCAGGTGTGTGCCCAGATGTGCCCCCCACCCCCCAGGTGTGCCCAGCTGTGCCCAGGTGTACCTGAGCTGTGCCCAGGTGTGCCCAGGTGTACCTGAGGTGCACCTGGATCTCGATCTCCTGCCCCAGCTGGTGCTCCACCCCCCCAGGTGTGCCCAGATGTACCTGACATGTGCCCAGGTGTATCCCAGGTGTATCCCAGGTGTGTCCAGGTGTATCCCAGGTGTGCCCAGGTGTGCCCAGGTGTGCCCCCCACCCCCCAGGTGTGCCCCCCACCCCCCAGGTGTGCCCAGGTGTACCTGAGGTGTGCCCAGGTGTATCTCAGGTGTATCCCAGGTGTGCCCAGGTGTACCTGAGGTGCGCCTGGATCTCGATCTCCCGCCTCAGCTGGTGCTCCACCCCCCAGGTGTGTCCCCCACCCCCCAGGTGTGCCCAGGTGTACCTGAGGTGCGCCTGGATCTCGATCTCCCGCCTCAGCTGGTGCTCCACGCCCTCCTGCTCCACCTGGGACTTGAAGAGCACCTTGAGGGCCACCAGGAAGCCGGAGCGCCGCTCCCGCGCCAGGTACACGTTCCCGAACTTGCCCTTGCCCAGCGGCCGCCCCACCTCAAAGTCCTCCAGCGAGAAGGTGCGCCTGTGGGGCACAACTGGGTTAACACCTGGGCACACCTGGGTCACCTGGGCACACCTGGCACAGGTGGCACAGGTGGGCACACCTGGGGTAATGTCTGGGGTAACACCTGGGTCACAAAGGAACACCTGGCACAGGTGGGATAACGCCTGGGGACACCTGGGGTAACACCTGAGCACAGCTGGCACAGGTGGGCACACCTGGGCACACCTGGCACAGGTGGGCACACCTGGGCACACCTGGGGTAACACCTGGGGAATGTTCCCACCCCCACCTCGAAGTCCTCCAGAGAGAAGGTGCGCCTGCGGGAAGGGCACACCTGGGTCACCTGGGCACAGCTGGGCACAGCTGGCACAGGTGGGCATAGGTGGGCACACCTGGGGTAACACCTGGTGTAACACCTGGGTCACAAAGGAACACCTGGCATGGGTGGGGTAACACCTGGGGACACCTGGGGTAATGCCTGGGAACACCTGGCACAGGTGGGCACCCCTGGGGTAACGCCTGGCACAGGTGGGCACACCTGGGGACACCTGGGGTAATGCCTGGGCACACCTAGGGGAACACCTGGGCACACCTGGGTTAACACCTGGGCACACCTGGGCACAGCTGGCACAGGTGGGCACACCTGGGGTAACACCTGGCACAGGTGGGGTAACGCCTGGGGAAACACCTGGCACAGGTGGGCACACCTGGGGTAACACCTGGGGACACACCTGAGCACACCTGGGCACACCTGGGGACACCTGGGCACAGCTGGCACAGGTGGGCACACCTGGGGTAACACCTGGGTCACAAAGGAACACCTGGCACAGGTGGAGTAATGCCTGAGCACACCTGGGGTAACACCTGGCACAGGTGGGCACAGTTGGGCACCCCTGGGCACACCTGGGGACACCTGGGGGAACACCTGGGCACACCTGGCACAGGTGGGCACACCTGGGGGCATCTGGGGGAGACCCTGAGAGCACCTGGGGGCACCTAAGGCACACCTGGCACACCTGGGATACACCTGGGCACACACCTGGGGACACCTGGGCACACCCGGGCACACACCTGGGCACACCTCCCCTCCCCCATCCCCCCCAGGAGATTTTGGGGCCCCCCCGCCCCACTCACACGGGTGGGGGAGGGGCCGGCAGCGCGTTGGGCTCCAGAGGCACCCGCCCGGCTCCTGGGGGGACAGCCGAAAACACCCTGAAACACCCCAAAAACACCCCAAAAACACCCCAAAAACAGCCCAAAAACAGCCCGAAACAGCCCGGAACACACAAAAACAGCCAAAAACACCCTAAAACACCCCAAAACACCCAAAACCAGCCGAAAACAGCCCAAAACACCCCAAAAACAGCCCAAAAACAGCCCGAAACAGCCCGAAACAGCCAAAAACACCCCAAAAACAGCCCCAAACACCCAGAAACACCCTAAAACACCCCAAAAACAGCCCGGAACACCCAAAAACACCCTAAAACCAGCCAAAAACACCCCAAAACCAGCCTGGAACACCCCAAACACAGCCAGAAACACCCTAAAACACCCCAAAACCAGCCAAAAACAGCCAAAAACACCCGAAAACAGCCAAAAAACAGCCCAGAACACACAGAAACAGCACAAAGCACCCCAAAACCAACCCAAAACACCCCAAACCACCCAAAAACAGCCAAAACACCCCAAACCACCCAAAACCAGCCCCAAACACCCAAAACCAGCCAAAACACCTAAAAACACCCAAAACCAGCCCAAAACACCCTAAAAACAGCCAAAAACACCCCGAAACTCCCAAAAACAGCCAAACACACCCCAAAAACCAGCAAAAACACACAAAAACTGCAAAAAACACCCCAAAAACAACCTAAAACAACCTGGGACCCCAAAAATAGCCTTGGGAACCCCAAAACACCCCCCAGGACCCCCCAAACCCCCCCCAGGACCCCCCAAACCCCCCCAGGACCCCCAAATCCCCCCCAGGACCCCCAAACCCCTCCAGGACCCCTCAAACCCCCACAGGACCCCCAAACCCCTCCCAGGACACCCCAAATCCCCCTCAGGACCCCCCAAATTCCCCCCAGGACCCCCCAAATTCCCCCCAGGACCCCCAAATCCCCCCAGGACCCCCCAAACCCCCCCCCCAGAACCCCCAAATCCCCTCCCAGGACCCCCCAAACCTCCCCCAGGACCCCCCCAAACCCCCCAGGACCCCCAAATCCCCCCCAGGACCCCCCAAATCCCACTCAGGACCCCCCAAATCCCCCCCAGGACCCCCCAAATCCCCCCAGGACCCCCCAAACCTCCCCAGGACCCCCAAATCCCCCCCAGGACCCCCCAAACCCCCCCCCAGGACCCCCAAATCCCCCCCAGGACCCCCCAAACCCCCCCCAGGACACCCCAAATCCCCCCCAGAACCCCTCAAATCCCCCCCAGGACCCCCCAAATCCCCCTCAGGACCCCCAAACCCCCCCAGGACCCCCAAATCCCCCCCAGGACCCCCCAAACCCCCCAGGACCCCCCCAGGACCCCCCAAATCCCCCTCAGGACCCCCCAAATCCCCCCCAGGACACCCCAAATCCCCTCCAGGACCCCCCAAATCCCCCCCCGTACCTGTCAGAGCCTTCCCGGGGGGCTCAGAATTTGGGGGGTCCTTGCAGGGCACCCGCAGGGGGGGAGGGACCAAACTCTGGGGGGGACATGGGCAGGGGTCACCCCAAAAAACCCCAAATTGGGGAGGGGTCACCCCAAAAAAAACCCAAATTGGGGAGGGGTCACCCCAAAAAAACCCAAATTGGGGAGGGGGACACGGGAACCCCAAATTGGGGAGGGGGACACGGGCAGGAGTCACCTCAAAGAAACCCCAAATTGGGGAGAGGGTCACGCCAAAAAAATCCCAATTTGGGGAGGGGGACACGGGCAGGGGTCACCCCAAAAAAACCCCAAATTGGGAAGGGGTCACCCCAAAAACCCCAAATTGGGGAGGGGGTCACCCCAAAAACCCCAAATTGGGGAGGGGTCACCCCAAAAAACCCGAAATTGGGGAGGGGGACACGGGCAGGGGTCACCCCAAAAAAACCCCAAATTGGGGAGGGGGACATGGGAAGGGGTCACCCCAAAAACCCCAAATTGGGGAGGGGGACACGGGCAGGGGTCACCCCAAAAACCCCAAATTGGGGAGGGGTCACCCCAAAAAAAACCCAAATTGGGGAGGGGTCACCCCAAAAACCCCAAATTGGGGAGGGGGATTGAGGGGGTCTCACCTTGGTCAGGCTGGGGGCCACGTTCTCCTTCTGAGCCATCCTGGGGGGCCCCAAAATCCATCAGGGACCCCCAAAATCCAGCAGGAAACACCCAAAATCCATCAGGGACCCCCAAAATCCAACAGGGACCCCCCAAAATCCAGCAGGGAACACCCAAAATCCATCAGGGACCCCCAAAATCCAACGGGGAACACCCAAAATCCAGCGGGGAACCCCAAAATCCATCAGGGACCCCCAAAATCCAACGGGGAACACCCAAAATCCAGCAGGGAACACCCAAAATCCAACGGGGACCCCCAAAATCCAGCGGGGACCCCCTCAGGACCCCCCAATTCCCTCAGAAATCCCTTCAGGACCCCCCAATTTCCCTCAGGACCCCCTAATTCCCCTCAGAAATACCCTCAGGACCCCCCAGTTTCCTTCAGGCCCCCCCAATTTCCCTCAGAACCCCCCAATTCCCCTCAGGACCCCCCAAATTCCCTCAGAAATCCGTTCAGGACCCCCCAATTCCCCTCAGAAATCCCCTCAGGACCCCCTAATTTCCCTTCAGGACCCCCAATTCCCCTCAGAAATCACCTCAGGACCCCCCAGTCCCCATCAGAACCCCCCAAATCCCCTCAAGAACCCCTCAGGACCCCCCAATTTCCCTCAGAAATTGCCTCAAGACCCCCTAGTTCCCTTCAGGACCCCCAAATCCCCTCAAGAACCACTCAAGACCCCCCAATTCCCTCAATATCTCCTCAGGATCCCCCAATTCCCCTCACAAATCCCCTCAGGAACCCCCAGTTTCCCTCAGAAATCTCCTTAGGACCCCCCAATTCCACTCAGAACCCCCCAATTTCCCTCAGAAATCCCCTCAAAACGTCCCAATTCCCCTCAAGAACCCCTCAGGACCCCCCAATTCCCCTCAGAAACCCGGAGTTTCCCTCAATAACTCCTCAGGACCCCCCAATTCCCTCAATATCTCCTCAGGGTGCCCCAATTTCCCTCAGAAATCCCCTCAAGACCCCCCAGTTCCCTTCAGGAACCCCCAATTTCCCTCAGGTCCCCCCAATTCCCCTCAAAAATCCCCTCAGGACCCCCCAGTTGCACTCAGAACCCCCTAGTTCCCCTCAATATCCCCTCAGGACCCCCCAATCCCCCCTCGGGACCCCTTAATTCCCCTCAAAACTCCCCAATCCCCCTCAGAAACCCCCTCAAGACCCCCCCCAGGTCCTTCAATACCCCCTCAGAATCTGCAAATTCCCTCAGAAACTCCCTCAGGACCCCCCAGTTCCCTTCAGGACCCCCCAATTTCCCTCAGAAATCCCCTCAGGACCCCCCAGTTCCCCTCAGAACCCCCCAGTTCCCCTCAAGAACCCCTCAGGACCCCTAGATTTCCCTCATAAACCCCCTCAGGCCCCCACAAATCGCTCCGGGATCCCCCAAATCCCCCCAAAATCCCCCCAAAATCCCCCCAAAATCCCCCCAATTCCCGCCCCTCACCCGCCGCCCGCCGCCGCCGCCGCCGCCTCCACTTCGAATTTCCCCCGCGTCCTCCTATTGGCCGCCGCCCGCGCGCGCCGCGCTCCTATTGGTCCGCGCCTCCAGAATCCCCGCCCCCGAGGACGCGCGCCGCGCTCCCATTGGTGAGCGCCTCACGAATCCCCGCCTTCCCAGCGCGCGCTGCGCGCCCATTGGTCGGTACCACACGAAGCCACGCCCCCATTGCGCGCGCCTTCACCCCGCGCGTGACTCGCCTCTGATTGGTGCCTGCCGCAGCGGGGAACGGCCAATCAGCGCGGGGAACGCGCGGTCACGTGGGGAGGCGGCCATTTTGTGCGCGGCATTCTGCCCGGCAACAGGGGCGGGGCCGAGAGGGGCGGCGGCCAATCAGAGAGCGGGGGGGGCGCGGGGACCAGTATGGACCAGTATGGACCAGTATGGACCAGTACAGACCAGTACAGACCAGTATCGGCTGTTGTGGAGCAGTTCAGACCAGTACAGACAAGCATAAACCAGTGTGAGGCACTGCGGTTTAATACAGACCAGTATAAACCAGTACAAACCAGTATATCCCAGTATAACCCAGTATATCCCAGTATATCCCAGTATAACCCAGTATAACCCAGTATAACGCAGCCCAGCCCAGTATATCCCAGTATATCCCAGTATAACCCAATACAGCCCAGTATATCCCAGTATAACACAGTATAACTAAGTCCAGCCCAGTATAAACCAGTATATCCCAGTATAACCCAGTATATCCCAGTATAACCCAGTATAACCCAGCCCAGCCCAGAATAACCCAGTATAACCCAGTATATCCCAGTATAACGCAGTATATCCCAGTATAACCCAGTATAACCCAGTATAACCCAGGATAACTCAGCATATCCCAGTATATCCCAGTATATCCCAGTATATCCAAGTATAACCCAGTATAACCCAGTATAACCCAGCCCAGCCCAGTATAACCCAGTATAACCCAGTATAACCCAGCCCAGCCCAGTATAACCCAGTATAACCCAGTATAACCCAGCCCAGCCCAGTATAACCCAGTATAACCCAGTATAACCCAGCCCAGCCCAGTATAACCCAGTATAACCCAGTATATCCCAGTATAACCCAGCCCAGCCCAGTATAACCCAGTATAACCCAGTATAACCCAGCCCAGTATAACCCAGTATAACCCAGTATAACCCAGCCCAGCCCAGTATAACCCAGTATATCCCAGTATAACCCAGCCCAGCCCAGTATAACCCAGTATAACCCAGTATAACCCAGTATAACCCAGCCCAGCCCAGTATAACCCAGTATAACCCAGTATATCCCAGTATAACCCAGTATAACCCAGTATATCCCAGTATAACCCAGTATAACCCAGCCCAGCCCAGAATAACCCAGTATAACCCAGTATATCCCAGTATATCCCAGTATAACCCAGTACATCGCAGTATATCCCAGTATATCCCAGTATAAACCAGTATAACCCAGTATATCCCAGTATATCCCAGTATAACCCAGTACATCCCAGTATAAACCAGTATATCCCAGTACAACCCAGTATATCCCAGTATAACCCAGTATAACCCAGTATAACCCAGTATAACCCGGTATAACCCAGTATAACCCAGTATAACCCAGTATATCCCAGTATAACCCAGTATAACCCAGTATAACCCAGTATAACCCAGTATAACCCAGTATAACCCAGTATATCCCAGTATATCCCAGTTCAACCCAGTTTAACCCAGTATATCCCAGTATAACCCAGTATAACCCAGTATAACCCAGTACATCCCAGTATAAACCAGTATAACCCAGTCCGGCCCATCATCCCCATTCCAATCTCCGGTAGGGGGCGTGGCCACTTTCAGGGGGGCGTGGCCTATGCAAAGGGCGTTGTTCATTCGTGGCAGTGGGCGTGGCCAAGGCGGTGGGCGTGGCCAAGGCGGTGGGCGTGGCCAAGGCGGTGGGCGTGGCCAGGGCGGTAGGCGTGGCCTGGGCCGTTGCCGCGGTAACGGCGCCGCGCGGGGCGGGGGGAGGGGAAGAAAACGCGGGAATTCCGGGGTGGGGGAGGGGCGGAGGGAGACCCCCGGGGTGGGGGAGGGGTCCCATGGGTGGGGGAGGGGTCCCGGAGGTTCCTTTCTGGCCATTGAGGGGGGGGAAGGGCGCGCGCGAGGTGGGGGAGGGGCTAAAAACGGGGGGGGGAGGGGAATGAGGGGGTCCCATGGGTGGGGGAGGGGAATGAGGGGGTCCCATGGCTGGGGGAGGGGAATGAGGGGGTCCCATGGGTGGGGGAGGGGAATGAGGGGGTCCCATGGGTGGGGGAGGGGAATGAGGGGGTCCCATGGGTGGGGGAGGGGAATGAGGGGGTCCCATGGCTGGGGGAGGGGAATGAGGGGGTCCCATGGGTGGGGGAGGGGGTCCCATGGGTGGGGGAGGGGATTGAGGGGGTCCCATGGGTGGGGGGAGGGGAGAGAGGGGGTCCCATGGGTGGGGGCGGGGCTAAAGGGGAGGGGAGGGGCTATTTAAGCCCCGCCCCCTCCCGGGCCCCGCCCCCAGCCTCGGTCCCGCAGATGACGTCACTGCTGCCCGGGCGGTTCCTCATGATGGCGGCGCACCTCGGCATGCTAATGAGGATGGGCGGGGTCAGGATATGCTAATGAGGATGGGCGGGGTCAGGATATGCTAATGAGGAGGGGTCAGGGCATGCTAATGAGGATGGGTCAGGATATGCTAATGAGGATGGGGTCAGGGCATGCTAATGAGGATGGGTCAGGGCATGCTAATGAGGATGGGCGGGGTCAGAATATGCTAATGATGTTGGGCTGGGTAATGATATGCTAACGAGGATGGGCGGGGTCAGGATATGCTAATGAGGATGGGCGGGGTCAGGATATGCTACTGAGGATGGGCAGGGTCAGGACATGCTAATGAGGAAGGGCGGGGTCAGAATATGCTAATGAGGATGGGGTCAGGGCATGCTAATGAGGATGGGCGGGGTCAGGATATGCTAATGAGGATGGGTCAGGGCATGCTAATGAGGATGGGCGGGGTCAGAATATGCTAATGAGGATGGGCGGGGTCAGAATATGCTAATGAGTATGGGTGGGCTCAGGATATGCTAATGAGGATGGGCGGGGTCATGATATGCTAATGAGGATGGGGTCAGGGCATGCTAATGAGGATGGGCGGGGTCAGAATATGCTAATGAGGGTGGGCGTGGCCTGTTCTGACTCCGCCCCTTTCCCCAGGACCCGCCCACGCTGCCCTCGGGGGAACCGGAGCCGGGGTGAGTGAAACCAGTATGGACCAGTATAAACCAGTATAAACCAGTATAAACCAGTATAAACCAGTATAGACCAGTACAGACCAGTATAAACCAGTATAGACCAGTACGGACCGGTATGGACCAGTACGGACCAGTACGGACCAGTATAGACCAGTACAGACCAGTATAAACCAGTACGGACCAGTATAAACCAGTACAGACCAGTACGGACCAGTACAGACCAGTACAGACCAGTATAGACCAGTACAGACCAGTATAAACCAGTACAGACCAGTACAGACCAGTATAGACCAGTATGGACCAGTATGGACCAGTATGGACCAGT